CTTTGTTGGAAAATTGAAGCTCAATTGAATCTATAAGGACTACGTTTGACCCCCTCCTCGTTTGCTCCTAGGGGTGGGTGACAATGAAAGAAATGGGAGAGGTTTTGCCAGAGTTCTCCCAGATTTCCATGCAAACGGCACATTGGTGGTGAGGCTCGAAATTCTTCTCCTCAATATGAGGGATAATTAGGCAGTGCATGTCCTGTCAAGGTCCATGATCGAATATTAATATGTTACTTTTACTGCGGCAAGCAGTGCCAGGAGCAGCATCGGGCGAATCACGAGAAGGTATGCGCAGCCCGCAAGAAGCTTTGGAGAGCTGTCGAATTGATTCAAGCACTCCACATCAATTTTGAGACCTACGCTTACGAACGCGTCTTGGAGAAGTTCATCATCAGGGATGGCATACTGTATTGTATTGATCAGACTGTGTCGTCATGGGTATATTGGTGATGCCAATGCTGACTCCAGACCAAGCTGCATCGGAAGAGATCCTTCTTGCAGCGATCATGGCCAGCAAGTGCGCAGATATCGTGACTGTCTGCAAACTTCTGCTCGATATTTTACTTAAGCGTAAGTTTCTGTTTTCCGCACCGGATATTATGAACATCCCACTAACCAGTCCCTACAGCCCTTGGCTTATGTATCGAGGGAATATGCGTCGTCCCTCGCAACGTCCACAGATCAGTGTGTACCGTCGAGGGCAAGGACAGAGACATGGAAAAACACATTGCTGTCGGCTCGCATAATCTACTCCGTGTGACGCTCCCGGATGGCGAACAAATGGCCGTCGACTTTTCAAGTCCTCACATGGGATGGCACGAGAGACCCTAGCACCCTCGACAGTCTGGAAAGAGAACCGAGCGGTCTTTGTTCTCCCTCCAAGCAATTACGGCTCTTTAAACAGCCAGGAATTAGTGATCGCTATGATGATACACTGTGAAGGCAATGAGATCGATAAACGCCGGAAAGAGCTCGTCGCTGTCGTGAATTCAACCATTCAAAGCACGTCAAGTACTTCTTGATTGAACAAGCTGCTGCTACGTCAAGCTTCTGCTCCATGCTCACTTTTCAAGCTCCAGTCTACCTACTCAACGAGTAATTATGGAAAGATCAGTGGTCAGGCGCGGTCATTGTAGAGCTCAGTTAGAGCTGCGGCCCTTGATCCGATCTCAGCTTCTTGTCAACAGCTAGGAGCTGGTTGAGCTTAGCATACGGCCCAAGCTTCTGGTTGCAACAAGCAAGAACAGTTAATCACACAAGCACTGCCCTGACTGATTATAAATGAAGCCTTTTCTTTCGCAGATTGACTTGACTTTCCTGCCTTTTCTACATCACAACCGCAAACTCATTCTGACTAAACCATACACTCCTCCCCAATCCATACCATTTCACGCCAATTACCAGTACCACCATCAGTCTTGAGTCTCGACCGCTCCAGGCCGTATTTAGCAGACTGTGAATATTCAACGCCAAATTCGATAGATAAGAACTATGGGGACTAGTCATCTAGTTCATGGCAACCCTATGTCTGGCGTATGCCCTTCCGACTCTCCTTACAGCCAGCCGTTCTTCCAGCAATCGCCGCATAGTCAAGGCTTCCATCTCAGTGAAGAGGAGCTATCCGCACAGAAGGCATTCATGGACAACTACGGTCTTGTCCAAACGACTGGTGTGACTACACTTGCCGCCCAAGTCAATAACAACTCGGAGATAATGCAGCAAGACCAGCTTAACAACAGCACACAGGTTTGCAAGCCTGACATCAATAATCAGGCGGATGCGATGATCCCGGCGCAAAGCATACATGGCCCAGTGGTATCTTACGGGGACAACAACATGAAAACCACTATAACGGGGCCGTTTGAATTCGATGGGATGCAAAGTCATCACCAAATACCGAGTGGCGACGCAGGCAGCATGAATGCTGGCTATGGAGCGCCTTTCGAGTTGATTGGTTACGGGCTCCAACATCAAGCTACAGCTGCCTTCCCAGCGAGCCAGTATCCGGGACCAGGCTCTGCGGTATTCAACGATGGCTCGCAGTACTCTGAGCATACCTACTACAATACACAGCAGATCCATGGTGGTATGACGGGAGAAATGACAGTTGCCCCATACCAGAACTTTCATCAAGCTACAGATATTGTCGACTATGGTGTCCCTTCAGGTATGGAGGCAACACGATTTCAGGTCAATAATCAAGCCATCCATACTCCCGAAGGTGCCTTCATCGCTCCTAAGCCCGAGCCGAAAAACGAATGCGATGTAGCAGAGCTTGTCGCCATGGCCCGGGAGTACGCCAAACAAGAACCGGGGCAGGTAGATGCACAATCAAATGACAATGTACTCAGTGGTTGTGTTGACAGTCCCAATACACCAGCCAGCTCAAAGGCGTCTACCAAGCCGAAGAAGGCACGCAAGACAAGATCCTCTACGAGGCAGAAGGGCACGAGAGTGCCCACGGCTATGCAATGCGCTCCAATATCAATCGCTCGCGACCGCAACGGCAAGAAGCGCGTCGAGATTGGACCGACTCTGGCAGGCGACGGCCTCCCACAGATCAAGGTACACCCTGGCTCGGACGATGACGACAAGACGAACCCTCTGTCGCTGGCTGAAGCAGTGGCAAGACCAAGGGACGAGCAATTGACGCTGCCCCGGCCGGGCGTACCGCTGGCTGGGCCCCGGGTCAAGGTACCATACCTGACCATTGATGACACGATGAGCCGGGAAGAGCAGCTGCGCCGCGCCGCGCATAACCAGCAGATTTCAGAGGTGGACAGAGCAGATCGCCGTGCTCGAAACAATGAGTCTGCTCGCAGGAATCGAGAGCGTACCAAGCAGGCCATCGTCGATGCCCAAGCCAAGGTGGAAGAGGGCCAGGCCAAAATCAAGGAGCTCGAGGAGAAACTCGTGGCCCGCGATCAGGAGATTAAGGAGCTGAAGAAGCATATGGGAAAGAAGTAATGGATAGTACGAGATATACCCTCTTGACCTTTAGGCAGTTTGGCGCAGCAATTGTACGATTTCCTTTGAATCCCTCCATGGCTAATTCCATGAGGTCAAACCGAAACAATCTCTCTCTCTCTGATAGGACTGGGATATTTGAAATTCACACTGCGTAGCTGTTCGTGGTCGCTTCATGCACCACTGTGATGTCTTTCTTTCTTTTTCTCTTTTTTTTTAAAAAAAAAAAATAAAAAAGCGACCACGAATTCTTTCATATTTTTGACACGTTCGCATCAGAAACTTTGCATTCGTCGAATTGAGCGCACCTGCTATATTATTATGTGATTTATTTACGAGGGGTACGTCGAAATGATCGCGAAGTTTAAACTACTGTTGAGCAAACTCCTGGATCATCGTGTTTGATGTCCCAAGCGGCGCCAACAGACTGAGTGCATCAGAAACACACATTCAAATGCGTGACGCAAGAGATGGTGGCCAATGCCTGCCCAACGGGTAATAATGGTAATGGTCGAATGTGCTCGGCATTGTGCTAGGAATGATTAATCCGGAGAAATTACCACGCCATGCCAACGGCGGCGCTCTTCTCTCATTTCCAAGGCCTCGATGTATTGCTCAAGCAAACTCTGGCGTCCCATTGCTCGTTCACGTTCAAGGCTCATCTCAAGGGCCTGGCGAAACTCTCGACGGAATCCCATGCGGCCTTGGGCACGGCGACGCTCGTGGCGCATTTCAATAGCTCTGACGAGATCTGCCCTGAAGCCGCGACGGCTGCGTCTGGAGCGGCGACGACCTGGCCGACGCATGGTTGACAACAAGGGGTCTTGATTGACGATTGATTGATGGAATTGGCGATTGTGGTAGTACTATTACGACTAACGGACGAGGGAGTTGAGCTTGAGGATGCAATAGATGAAGTGGAACAGGAAGAGAAGAGGGGCCAATCTTATATACATACCTAATAAATGAATACTGTCGCTAAATCAGAGATCAAAAGTATACTTTCGTGAGCATTACCATATGTGAATCAGGAACGCCCACGTACAAAGGCCGCTTTTGAAAGACCGTCTATAAAGCCGATTTCGAATAAACCCCTATTTCAAGAGAGAATGGTCATGGGAGGACCATACTTGCAAAGGAATTACTCACTTAAGTTCGCCTCGAGGGCAACTTTACTGCCGAAATGATTCATGACCGTTTGGTAATCATCCAAAGCAAATGGTCGTGACAGGCAAGACCATTGTTGATAGTGTCAAGAGATTCACGTATTTTCACAGATTCACGACCTTAGACACAACCAAGTTAGATATTGCAATGTCCATTGTATCAATTATATCGCTATAAATCACCGACTGGCGGAGTGTGAAGTGTTGGGCAAGCAATATTACCTTTCCCAAAGTTGTTTCACGTTTCCTCCACTCGCGGTCGGACGGGCTTGCCATCTTCCAGGCATTCTCGACACCTGCCTCCCGTGAAGGGCAAACTCCTGTCTCTCTTTTTTCCGCAACCAGCACAGTGTAGGCCACAGAGATACCGATCGCATCTTGGAGCGGGACACTCTACTTTCCATCGACAACTTTGTGTTAAATGCTGCTTCCCACATTGGCATCTCTTGAAGCTGCATTGCTTGCCAGAGTGGTCCCTTTTCCCACACATGCAGCAGCGAGAATTGCATGTCATGGCGTTGAGATGCTTGTTATCTCGAAAAGGAAATGGATTACCACATCGACGACTGCATTGTTCCTGGCACTCTGTCGCGACATGCCGCGGGAATGGCTTACACTTGCAGCGATTTGAAGGTTTGACGGGGCATTTGACAGCCAGGTGGCTCTTCTTACCACAATATCCACACGGGTTAGAACACTTTTTGAGTTTGTGATCGAGGCCACCGCAATTTGAACAAGGATGGGATTTGCCATGTTGATCTGCTCCATCTCCAGCAGGTCTTTCTACCGGCGGATCCTTGAACATGTTTCTAATATGGCTTCGACTCAGGCTCCTTCTCCTTACAAGCTTGTCTAGCTCCGAGAATCGACGACGCGGAAAGTGGAAGATCAGTTGAGTAAGCCACATGAAAGGGCGTCCCGAGCGCAATCGAGTCGGATCTTTTACAGTCATAGAATGTCTTGCAGTGGCCCAGGCATCAGGAGCTGGAAGACTTGATGCTCGACCGTAGAGCTTTGGGGGAGCGAACGGGAATATATCAAAGAGCCGGTCCTTGGCAGTCTTTCTCGTGCTCCGAGGTAATAAGGGATCTCTTTTGAGAATGAGGTGGAAGCCCTTGGCCAAGACCCGAGATTTCTGATCTGGCTTTGGAAAGCCTCCTGAGTAAAGGCGATGAGCATCTTGTACTCGAATATTTCGCTTCGCATCCTCAATCAGAATCCTAGTCCGCTCCTCAATAGACCATAATAGGTCCTGGCCACCCAATTGTTTGAAGAGGAATCTGACGGACGGATCATTCACCTCAAAATAAAACCGCTGAGCAGCATCGAAAGCAAAATCTCTTTGAGCCCATTCGAAATCGCCAAGCTGTTCTTTGGTGAGGAAGGTGTGTCTGCGTAGAAGACTATTGAGCCATTCATCGATGGTAGTAGATCGAAAAAGAAAGGCGACTGCGTCTTCCTCCTTGTTTGGGATGGGGTTGGGTCGAATCAAATGCAACAAATCGCAAGGCTCAACGGCCGGAATCTTTCTACCCTGACGAGAATGAACTGCAACGCGGCCTAACAGTGTAGAGGGATTCCAGATATCTTCAGTAGCCTCCTGTTTGGCCGGAGTAACAAAGATTTCCCATAGACGATTGATAAGGACATCTCTAACCTCGAGGGTTCGATGCTCGTACCGCTCAAAGGCGAGGTCCTGGTCCAATGGATAGTGGCGCGCCATATCGAGCAGCCTGATATCCTGGAGTCGCTAGGGATTACGCGATGTTTCCCAAGAGGTTACAAGAAGAAGGCAATCACGTGTGCTCTGCTCTGGAAGGCATGTATCATCCGGTACTCTTCCTCCATCGAGCGCCTTTGAGCTGACTCCGTGCAGAGTTTGGCCGAGATCCGATCAGCTTAGTATCGCGATGCTGATGTTGCATCGGCCGTGCATGGATGGACAAAGGTAGTGCAACACCGCGTGGAGTTGGTCGCGTGGTTTTGAGAAGAATGATTGATCTTCCATACCTATACATCCAACAAGGTCATTCTGAAGAAGACAAAAACTCCGCCACTACCTGGTACCAAACTGACCTCAACAACATGGTGTACATTAGCCACAGTGGGGAATTCACATTGTAACCCCACACTCGACCAATAAGTTGGGGCGCTTTATCAGGTGCCTGTGCTGGGCTCCAAGCTACTGTAGACACCTGATAAGTGCCCAGGTGCCTTGCAGCTTCTAGAACACAACTCTACAAGACAACATATGCCTGGATACCTCTTTGAGCTATTGAGGACGAGGCTTCCATTTCTTAATCGCTTCTGCCCAGAAAACAGTAAAAGACGGGGTGTGTGAGACAACCGTCAGCTCCTAGGAACACTTGGATTGCTAAAAACAAATCCAGCGATCCTCTGTCTCAAACCTTTAATTTCCCAACTGTGCATACAAAGCAAGCATGTTGGTGATGCGTGAGCCATGACAGGCCCCCCGCGGACTCGGTCCGGGGACCAGACGGAGGACTCGTTCCCCGTGTCCCGATTCGGAAACCCAGCGCTTGCAGATGAACACGCCGACGCAGCGCCTCGAGTCCATTTTCTATCTCTGACGGCACATTTGCAATTCTTACTCGGTGCTTTGTCATCTCATTGCTTTGGAAATGGACGAAAAGGGCTAAGAAAAGATGTAATGAGGTTGTCAGATCCAGAAGAGAGTAACATCATTACAGCTCGCCCGTTACACTCCGTTTCGTAGCACTTGTCTGTTTATCCCTTTGCCAAGCACAACCAAAGCCAAGAAGGCAACCCAGGAGAAGCGATCACCCGGGTCCTTGGCTCTGTCCGCGGTTGGCTGCCGTCCTTCCACCCCTGAATCTTGACAGACGTTACACTCTTATTGTGGCTTCGCGTGGAACAGATGAGTCCCACGCCCCAGCTCCCCGGTCCGCCATGCCCGCGTCCGTCTCCCAGCCCGGCACGCATCCTCCGCACTCTCCTTCATTTGTCACGTTCCAGTGCTTTCGGCTGGAACCGAACCTGCCAGCCCTTGCGCCGCCCTGGCACCAGCTGTATGCGGGCATATGAAATCCCTCCTATGGGGAGATCTTCCCAAGGGTGTCAAGTCATCAAGACGACGACGGTCCCCACAGCGTCACTCCTGAAGGCTTGGAGGGCCACGCGAAAGCTTATTCCGGGGTAAAGCATGGGTACAAGTATATCTCTAGTCATGATCCGCGGAGTGCAGTTCGCCTCTGTCAGGAACAGGCACACCCAGTTCCACGACGTGACGTGACGCAGGTTGAGCATCTCCCGAATACATGATGGGCTTCCGCCACTGGGCTGCTACGCTGCTTGCAGCTGGCCTCAGTAAGTTGAAGTTGTGCCAATCTTGTGTCCATCAATATCACTGACCATTTCCAGACATTCAGAATGCTTTGGCTCAAAGTTCTACGCCTGTTGTCTACACGGATCCCGCGACGGGCATCACGTTCGATACATGGCCGGTACCAGCAGCCTCGAGCGCGGGTGGAATGACATTTGGTATGGCCCTGCCATCCGATGCCCTGACAGTGAATGCAGACGAATTCGTGGGATATCTGGTAGGTCTAGTACTGGAATCAGTAAAGATGCATCTACTGACCTGAAAAGCAATGCGCATCGGAAGATGCAACCTCGACGGGATGGTGCGGAGTTTCATTAGGCGGCTCAATGACCAACAATCTTCTATTGATGGCCTGGCCCTACGATGATGATATTTACACGAGCTTTCTTTGGGCTACTGGTTACACTCAGCCAGCACCATATACCGGCGACGCAACTCTGACCCAGATCTCATCGACAGTCAACGATACGCATTACACGCTGATATTCCGCTGCCAGGGATGTCTCTCCTGGGACCAAGATGGAACAACTGGAAGTGTTTCCACCAGTAATGGTTACATGGTGCTGGGTTGGGCTGAAGCTTACGCACAGCCATCAAATCCAGACTGTCCCGCAAACGTTGTCATGGTTCAGCACGACTATCAAGGAATCTTTGGCGCTCAATTTGATTCCACCATTGCCAATGCGTCCTATTCTGCCTGGGCAGCCTCAGCCACTGCTACTGTCACTGGCAGCTGCACTGCGGTTCCCACCACTACTGCCACCACTACCGCCACTGCGACGGCCACGGCCACGGGTGTTCCAGTTCCCACAGCCACCTACGACTACATTATCGTTGGTGCCGGAGCAGGAGGTATACCTCTGGCTGATAAGCTCAGTGAGGCCGGGAAATCGGTTCTGCTCATTGAAAAGGGCCCGCCATCATCTGGGCGATGGGGAGGCGACATGAAGCCAGACTGGCTGGATGGCACCAATCTGACACGCTTTGACGTGCCAGGACTTTGCAATGAGATCTGGGTCGACTCGAATGGTATCGCGTGTACTGATACTGACCAGATGGCTGGATGTGTCCTTGGTGGAGGAACAGCTGTGAACGCCGGCTTGTGGTGGAAGGTCAGTCTCTTGTCCTCGTTTTCAACAAGAACCAGCATAACTAATTTGAGTAGCCAAACACGGAAGACTGGGACTACAACTTCCCGACCGGATGGAAAACTTCTGACATGGCGGCTGCCACAAATCGTGTTTTCCAACGTATTCCGGGCACTGATGTTCCCTCAATGGATGGCAAACTCTATTACCAGCAAGGCTTCAACGTCATTGCTGGTGGGCTTGCTGCTTCTGGCTGGAAGAATGTTACACATGCCAACGATCATCCAAATGACAAGAACCACACCTTTGCCCGCGGAGAATTCATGTTTTCCAACGGAGAAAGAGGCGGTCCTATGGCAACGTACCTCGTCTCGGCGAACGCGCGGTCCAACTTTGATTTGTGGATGAACACTGCAGTCAAGAGAGTTATTCGAAGTGGCGGCCATGTCACAGGTATCGAGGTTGAGCCCTACCTGGACGGCGGCTACACTGGTGTCGTCAATGTGACTTCTATTTCCGGTCGCGTGGTGCTCTCGGCGGGTACATTTGGGTCTGCTAAGATCCTCATGCGAAGTAAGTATAATCATGCACACTTTCAACGCAGTTTTATTGACAAATTCAGGTGGTATTGGACCATCTGATCAGCTTGCAATTGTCCAGGGATCTGCAGATGGGCCTACGATGATCAACTCGACACAGTGGATCATTCTACCTGTCGGCTACAATCTCGATGACCACGTCAACGTGAGTGGCCTACCAATCTCGAATTAGACCGATGCTTACTTTTCTACAGACGGATACCGTCATCTCTCACCCAGATGTCGTGTTCTACGACTTCTACGAAGCTTGGGATGACCCGCCAGCTGACGACGAGAGCCTCTACCTTAGTGAGCTTTAATCTTTCCATTGATATTGTACTACGTGCTAAACATTTACCAGCTAAACGCTCTGGCATACTCGCTCAAGCTGCTCCCAACATTGGTCCTCTGTATGTCATGCATTTCTCCGAGGCAATGAGCAAGACTGACAAGAAACAGCTTCTGGGATGAGATCACTGGTGCAGATGGAATCGTTCGCCAGCTGCAATGGACTTCTAGAGTAGAGGGGAGTGATGGCATTGCGAATGGAAGTAAGTAAAAGGTCCAGTCCGTGCTGTCAAGGATATGCATTAACGCTTCGACAGACTCTATGACCATGAGTCAATATCTTGGTCGCGGCGCCACTTCTCGAGGACGCATGACAATCACTTCATCGCTCAGCACTGTCGTTTCAACACTTCCTTACCTCAACGATGCGAATGATGTTGCTGCTGTAATTCAGGGCATCAAGAACCTGAAGGCGGCTTTGGCCAACGTCCAGAATCTCACATGGGAATACCCAACTGCAGACGAATCCGTTGAGGATTTCGTGAACAACGTAGGCTCGCCACCCTATCAGTGTCTTGAACTTGACTAATTGGTGATTAGATGATTGTCTCGTACTCCAACAGACGCGCAAACCACTGGATTGGTGAGTTTTGTCTTTGTAGTTCAGACTCATTTGGGCAAAAAGTCTAATATGTCCTAGGTACCGCCAAAATTGGAACTGACGATGGACGCAACGGTGGAAGCGCCGTTGTTGATGTCAACACGAAAGTCTACGGCACGGATAATCTGTTCGTTGTCGACGCGAGTATCTTCCCTGGTCATGTTACGTCAAACCCATCAGCGTACATTGTGACGGTAGCGGAGCGAGCCTCGGAAAGAATTCTTGCCTTGGCGACTTCAACGGCTGTCGCCAAGTATGGGCAGTGTGGAGGCATACAATGGACTGGTAGCTTCCAATGTGCCGCTGGAAGCACTTGCCAGAAGCAGAATGATTACTACTCACAGGTAAGTTTTCTGTGTCAATTCTGCTATTGGAGCTCACGACTAACCCTGCCCGATAGTGTTTGTGATGTGTAACCGCGTTCTGAGCATTCATTCTTGTACATATTTCAATTAGATCATTATTACACAGCAATCATTGGTCCAATGAGATGAAACCATGTCAATTGCAGTAGAATTATTACATTTCGATTCAGACTATCTTCAATCCTTTTCAGGTCATGATATCTCTTGCTTGACTGCTTATATACCTTTATTTCTTTGCCAGAGCCTAAAACAAGCTGAACGCGTAGTAAGTACATAGGTTCCAAGGAAAAGTTTCCCTTCGACTAGGTTCCAAAGCATTCATTGAGGCATATGGCTCAGCGGCGCCATCTGATCTCAACGGACGGAGCAAGAAAATACCACTAACCCTTTTCTTTCCTTTTCCGGGGGAAAAAAAAAGCTTGGCTAACAGAAGAGCACAAAAAAGAATAAAATAGCAAAAGCTCATCGAACCCCAAGTCCGGGTCAAACTCGGTACACAAAGGGCCTGAAGCCGAAACCTCTACCATACCTCGAGGTTTGCGAATTTCTAGCACCTGAACCATTGTACCAAGTCGCCACTGTACCGGGGGGGCCTCCCCCGGGCGGCAGTCTGAGAGAGGAGTTTGGGCTCTCGTGGTCCAGGTGTTGGAAATCAAGGCAACTATTGGGAATTAAACGGCCTCATATGTTGGTAAGAAGCAAGCGCCCGTTTGCATGTTGTCTGGCTAGAGAGGAATGTCGCGAGCTTTGATGTGGTGGGGGACTGGAGCAAACGTGGATGGACATGGGACTTTTTGCATATCTCATGTACGAGAAATTTGTTTCATAGCAGAAGGATGGCTTTGTCTTTTCAAGTTAACCGACACGAATCGATTACCAACTGCGCTTGCAATACACGCCTCTGGATGTGCTTTCCTCGGCTCACAAAGTCCCAAAAGTCCAAGAGCTTTCCCAGGTATAATTCTTGCCTGGTCCTGTAATCTGAGCCTCGGTACGATTCCATTCAGGGCTATAGCAGGATCATTATTAGCAGGTTCATTGAATTCCCCCAGCAAATTTGAAAGAGGGAAAGGAGAGGGGAGAAAATTCGACTTACTGGTTGATCCCATCAACCCAGTCCTGGGCTTCAATGGCCACGCACGAGCTCCGGCCGACAGTATGTCGATCCCGCAGGCCCTGCGTGCGCTTGAGCGCCGCGGTCCCGTCGAACCAATTGCACGAGTAGACGACGAGTCCGGCCTGATCCGTCCGCAGGTCGGCCCGGATGCCGGAAAAGGCACTCGCCAGCGTCGCCACGGTGGCGTTCTTGGGGGCCTTGTCAATCAGCCAGTAGCCATTGTAGCCTTCACACTATTTGTTTTGGAATATCGAGGTTAGCTTTGCCTTGTCGAGAACTTTCACAGTGAGTAAAGGTCATGTCGTCGTCGGGAAGTCCGTGTACGTGAGACGGCAGTGGACGAGATCCTCGAGTACCATGTTTTCAAAAAAAAAAAAGAAAGGGAAAAAAGAGAAGGCTAAAATTTGAGAGCATAAAAAAAAAAGGAAACGTTGAACAAATATGACTTACAGCACCATCGGCTCCGCAATTGCCTGAAAAGCCGGCTTGATCGCGCGCATGCCCGAGTGCAAGATTCGGCGCGCTCGCAAAGTCATTGATGCTGCCCTCGGCCGCCGTCAGGATCTTGCCCGTCGGCAGCGCCCCCTGATCGGCCTCGAGGTACCGCGCCGAATACGGGAGGTGGAGGGTGTGGTCCCAGATCTTGTCCGTCGACGGGTCGCGGTAGGCATCGAGGTTAAAGTATGTGTGCTGAGTGAGCATGAGGGCTGGCCCGACAGTTAATCAGTTTGATGAACCTCGAGGCTGAGGGGAATGAGGAGGGAATATAGTGGGAGCGGTTCTCACGAGTTTTCCTGTCGGACGCGTTTGCTTTCATGTGGATCTTCCAGGTATTCTTGGCCACGCTATACGTCACTGATGCCTCGACGCGGCCCAGCATGCCGAGCGATGAGTTTGAGGTGTCTAAGATGGAAAAGGTGATGGATGTATCAGAGAGATCCGTCACGTTCCAGGTCCGATATGACCAGTTATTGGTCCCGCTGTGCAGCGTGTTGTTGCCATCGTTGAGTTCTGTAGTGTACGTGACATTGTCAAGAGTGTAGTGGCCGTGGCCAATGCGATTGACGTAGCGCCCTGGAATGGAGTTGTACACGGGGTGTCCTGGATCCTTTGCTGTTGTGCTGTGAGTACCAAGCTTCAGAGGTAGAGAGTAATTGCCGACCCACGGTAGTAATCCAAGACATCGTAGCCCAAGACAACATCAACGTCGTCGCCGGATTTATCCTTGACAAACAGATTCGTGAGGGTAGCCCCGTATGGTATAAACTAGACTTGGAGTCAATAGGAGGACGACACTACTGGCACGTGCGTGAGATCAAATGGTACCTGGGCTTTTATACTTGGTGTCGAAATTGTGTACTTCCCATCAGGACCAGGCTTTGGTTCATCTCCCACGGCGAGTGCCGTGCTAGATAGGATGGCCAGTATTAGAGATCTCATTTTCTTTCATATGTTCGCTGCTGTCTCAAACTTATCGTTTAAAACCTTGATGTGTGCAGATTGACCGTGTAAATGAAATTGATGAAACTAGAGCAGAAGACATGGACTTGTTGTCCATACACAGGTCTTATGTATTTGCCACTCCTTTTGCTTAGCATCTTGCTTTTGTTTGCCCTGATACTGCAGCAAGACATGCGCTTATAATTGCCGTCGCCCAAAACTGATATAGCAGCGTTGAATATTTGGGATACTTTGGGGACAAGATCAGCCTGAAGTTCAACTGGGCGAATGGACAGTCAGCTGGACAGCCATAAGCGACCCCGCAATATGCAGGAACAGGGGCCTATAAATTGTTCCCAGCATTCAGATCATGCCCACTAATGGTAACCTTTTATCGTGGTTGGGATTTTATTGGTCTGTTGCCACGTGGTGGTGTACTCAACAGGCTCGGACACGAAAAATGCAACAGTGATGGTACCACAGACTGGTCCAAGTATGATTTGTGGGTTATCAAGTTGGATATAGGGGTCGCATAAGCCATAAGCAGTGTTTAAATTTTCCAGGTGAGCTATGGATATGCTAGAACCCGATAAAAGCAATTATTGCAACCTACTATCGGCGCCCAAAATGCCCTACTAGTTTCCATGTCGCAGGGAGCAGAGGCCTCTGCCCATTACATCTCAATCATTTGGTCTACCCCTTCCCGCAGAATAGCCTTGACAGCACCAAGTCTGTGTGCAACCATGATGACAGTGTAACCCCTCAAAGTGAACTCTTGGTGAATGACCGAAAGCATCAGCCCTTCCGTGTCAAGGTCCAGGGATGACGTGGCTTCATCGAGTAGAACAATGGGCTTATTATGGCCATCTTCGGCGAGGCTGTGCGCCTGGAGCAGCGCGCGCGCCAGTGCGAGAAGCTGCGCTTGGCCCGCTGAAATAGCCGCCAAGTCGGACATGGCCTTGTCGAGAATTTTGCCGGGCGAGGAGGCTGTTTCTTCTTCTTCTGGCTGCGGTCCGGCCCGCTGCTCTTGTTCGGGGATACGGAAGTGATCCAAGAGCCCTACTTTGCCTAGCGCCTTCATGACAGTCTCGTTGCTCAGGACCTGGGAAGGATCCAGGTTGAAGCGCAAGCTGGCTTGCGGAAATATGGTGGCATCTTGAGGAATCGCCACAAAGAACTTTTCTCTGACCACAGACGTTGGCGCATGTTTGGTGTTGAGACCATGAACGGTCACGGAGCCAGACCGTACGTCTATCATCTTGAGCAGAGACAAAAGAACGGAACTCTTTCCCCTGGACAAGACTATTAATTGTGATTCCCTTACACGGCCTATCAAGTACTTACCTTCCGGTTCGTCCGCAGAGCACTGCTAGCTGGCCAGGCTCGACGGTCATTGAAAAGTTCTGCAACGCGAGTGCATCCGGGCTGATGGAATAATTTTGTCAGCAAGCATGAATGAATCGTAACACTAGTGATCGAGATACTCACTTATACGCCGCATTTACACTAGTCAATTCCACGGCCCCTGGCATGGGCCAGGGCACCGAAGTATAACGATCAGGCAGATCAGCATTTTTGTCCTCTGGAGAAACGTCCTCCTCTAGAGTCTTGAGACGCAGAACGGCCCCCAAAGAGATTTCAAGGTCCGTCCATGACCGTATAAGCGCTAGCAACGCGGTGTTGGCCACCAATATCATATTGAGCGCGAGACCAACCTGGGCAGCACTCGTTGCGCCGCGCAGGGTCACGGCCACGGTGATGACGCCGACTCCAATGGCTCCAACAAGTAAATCGAGAACAATGTTGAGCCATCTCTGAAGGCAGAATAATATATAAAAGGGTCGTTGCGAGAAGTCCAGGTATTCCAGATGAGCAACCTCGGCTTTCTCATGGGCCTGGAATGCTCGAATTGTTGTGACACCCTCGACCTGCATTCGTCATTAGAGTAGAGTCGCATGAAATTCGAGCATGAACTCCTACCGTTTCAAGAAAGTCCTGAAAGACTGATGATCGAGATTCGAGCTCGAGATGTCGTAGCTGCCGTGATGTACGGAGATAAACCTTTTGGATGATGTAGATAATGATTGCGGAGATTGGCAAAGTGACTGTCATGTATTTTGAAGCAAGAAAGAGCAGTACAATTTGTACAGTGAGTTTGCAAATTTCTTACAAGTCAGTTTAAGCTTTTTTTGTTTCATCGCTCTTCTAACATTGAGACGTCTTGGACTTACGAATAACGAAGGCGCCAAGTGCTTCGCCAACCTTCTTATCAATTAATTGTATATCTTGGCTGAATCTGTGCTTGGTTAGTGGTCATGTCTATTGTGAACGGCATGAAGACCACTTTACCTGTTCAGGATCTCTCCCGTCGGAGTCTTGGAGAAAAAGGATAGCGGCGCCCTTGTCCGTATTAACATTTATAATTGCATTTCCATTTGTAGAGGAACCCACAGTAGGACTGTATCCAGAAGTTTTGAGTGGAGCGTCAGACCCGAACGAGGAGTCATTTTCAACATCCTTGCCCTGGCATGATATGAGCCGACAGAATGATGATTGGTCCTGGCACAAATGAAGTACTCACCACACTCCGCTAATAGTTGTGACCCAAGCACCAAGGGCGAGCAGGAGGTAACCAATAGCAAAGAACCAAGGCTCGTTAGACTCTGACTCGGTCCACAACTTGAGCCAGTATTGCGGAAAGGCCATGAATACCGAGTAAGCGGCAACGCAAACAAACATGAACATAAAGTTACCGTATCCCGCGGATTTTATGAAATACCCTGATAGATCTTAGTTGAAAATTATGAAGAAAGTTTGTGGTTATCTTACCGTAGAGCTCGCTGTCCCCGCTAGATCGGGCATCATCAGATGTCGATTTGGGTGCGGGTGTTACAGTCTTTGGACCTTTTGACGGTGTTGTAGCTTCTCCGTTGGTGGTCGTGCCGGCCTGGCTTTTACTTGTGATGATCTTCTCAATATCTCCCTGCTTGACTTTAAGATCGTTCCAATTGCCTTGCTCCTTGATCTTGAAGTCCTCTAGAATCAGGACTCGATCGGCTAGTCGGAAGTGTTGTGCTATTTCTAGGGCATTAATGATTACACATCACGGCGTTAGACTGGAATTGACTGACCGGCATTTGTAATGAGGAATAACGTGCTCCGGTGTTTTTGGATAAGACCACTGGGGCCTAGCAGATTTTCGATAATCTCATTCTCTGTATTTCCGTCTAGTCCACTCAGAATGTCATCGAGTAGCAGTATTGTTGGACGGGTGTAGAGGGCACGAGCGAGAGCCTAGACAGATTAGCCAGATCTATTGCAAGCTAAAGAGAGAATCACTTACGACACGTTGCCTCTGGCCGCCAGAAATGTTCATTCCCCTGGATCCCACTGAAGTCTTGTCTCCCTCTGCCATGGCGTCAAGGTCTTCTTGAAGACAGCAAACTCGCAAGATTTCTGCGTACCATTCTTCATCGTTTTGTTTCGTCTCTCGAGAGAACGAGGTAATAGCCTCCCTTATCGTGGTGTTTGGTAGCCACGTCGACTGTGCACAATAGGCAATATTCCTGGACGAGACACAAACCTCGCCTTGGCTCACGTTTGATTCACCAAGAATGGTTTTTACCAAGGTCGATTTTCCAGATGCGGTGGGCCCTGCACAGATGACGAAGCTTCCTTGGGGTACTGTGAAGGTGATATCCTCTAGCAATATCTTTGAAGCATCATTGACAATAGATACATGCTGGAAGGAGATTGCTGCATCAGACTCAACACTGGTGTCGACAAGCTCTGGCTCGGTAGCTGACTTTACAGATCTAGGATCTGCCAGATCTGGCTCCAAGAGAAATTTTTGAATGCGTTCATAGCTGGAAAAAGAGGCAATGACCTTGGGAATTATGGTCATGACCATGTTTGCTGGGTGAGTGACCATGCCAAGAATTGCGGTTGTCGTGAAAGCCGTTTCCGTATCCAACGCAGTGCCTCGAAAATACGCAACCACGGCGTACGTGAAAAGCGTCACGGCTGGTGTGAAAATCCCTATCAAATTGGCAGACGCGACATACGTCAGATTCATCCACCAGACTGTCTCTGCAGAGTCCATTTCTGCCCGACGAAGACTCTCGATGTATGCAATCAGGCCTCGCTGAAGGCCCATGATCTTGATGTTCTTGATTGCTGCCAGGACGGTACCAGTCATGGAGATGCGCCTTTGCGTTGCCGCATTCCATGCGCCCTGGCGAGACCTCAAGTTTCGCGCGACAAATCTGCTGACACGAGAACCGGCTATTGAAGTGTCAGCATGCACGGAAATTTGTTATCGAGGTATACATGGGTGCTTACAGAAGATGAAAACCAATGGGAGAGGCCAAACCCAACCAACTTCACTAGCGAGGAGTGCTATGCCAATGGCCACCTCGAGAACTTGAGCCCATGTCTGATGGAACATTTCCCCCGAGTCACTGACGTTGTCAACATCGTTACTCATCAGTGTCACGACTTTGCCTTCGTTCAGAAAGTCTGAACTTGTGTGAAGCGTCTTGTGGTGGATCAAGCTGATGAGAACACCTCGCGCCATGACCTGTAAGCGGTTGAGGCATCTTTGGTACACTGCGATCGAAACCTTGACTGTTTGTCAGCATGAAATCGACGCATGTGGTTTATTGGCCAAACTTACCGCCAGCCCAGTGTATACTATGATTGCGGCAAGAATGAGATTGGTCCCGTCCTGTGACTCTTTTTTTACTCTGGATGTGGTTAAAAAGTGTATGGCCTCCCTGATTAGTAGAGGTTGTGAATATTTGAACGCGGTCAAGAACAGTCGTGGTAGGACCGCACCCAAGAATGGCCGCAGGAGTGTTTTCAACAGAACTCTGGGTAGGGTCATTAAACCCTCTGGTTTTCCTGATCCGAAATTGAGTATATACTACTGCTAGTACCGTGGACACTCGAGAAAATACTTACGCCTTTGTGCCCAATTGTAAAGAGCGGCCGAGCGAAGCGAAGTCGAGATGAGATTCGAGTCAAGATTCGGAAGCGTCTTGACCTCGAATGTCTCGTGATATCCTCTGGCAAGAATCGGGTTGATCCACCAAAAAAAGGCCCGGCTGAGGACCCCAGCCGTGTCTTCGGGAGATCGTACCGTCTTGGAGTCTAACAGTATGCTCGATTTCTCGTGGCTCTCGACAAGGAGCAGAAAGAGGCTAATAACAGCCCTCAGAGCGCTGCCCCGGCCCCCAATCTGGCTGCCGCCGGGGCGAAGACTGAGTGCCCATCGTGCCGTCTCACCTAGAAAATTGGCAGTCAAGAACAAGATGATTGGCGTCGAGGGTCTGACGGAACGCCTGTGCTCGAGTGGCGACAACATGCAGTAGACGACGGCGGCGACTACAGTGGCTATAGGCGTGTAGAAGATCACAACATCAGCAGGAGCCGGCCAACCAGCATATTCGACTAGCCGAGCGATACAGACGAGAGGTAGTAACAGAGACGTGAACTAGAATAATCGGTGTTAATTTCTCTTCCATGGCATTGACACGGCAGAAATGTCAACTTACCGCTTTGAATGTTCCAAGCAGGTTTGGTCCTATCTTGGTGGTGGCCTTGCATAGCGTCCAAATCCTCCAGGGCGCAGACACCAAAAAGGCAAGGGCAGCGACCAAGGGGATCAACTGAACTCCGTCCACAACCGTCATGCGCTGCATCACTGCCAATATGGGAGTCGCAACCTCCTCGTCCCACAGATGGTCGGTGGTTTGAAGCGAAATAGACTTGATGTCTCACGTTTGGCCAGCTGTCGTGGGCGTTGCCGTCCTTATAAGATATTCCTTGGCAAGCCCAACTCAGCCTACAGCAAAACGCGTCTTTCCATGCCGTGATTGGTAGGGGAATTGAATACGAGGCCTCTATGTTGCAGCTCTGGTGGGGCGTAAGCAGGGAACTTTTTGATCATGATATGAGCCCTGGAATTCGTTTATTTATGGTATAGCTCGTCTTTACGAATAGGGACTTGGTCCTAGTGAAATGTTTTGTTTCAGGAATTTTCCAAAACAAATGGCATGGATCGAATTCCGTCTTGCAATGCAACTATATAAATCATGCGAACCATCACAGTATAACCCGTTCGGCCTTCAAACAACAGGTCGAATTTTCTACAAATGGTTATATTGGGTGCCCAAGCAGGAGAAGTATTTGACTCGTGTTCAAACAGGTTCACCTTTTTTTTTTTTTTTTTTTTTTTTTCATATTGTCTTGTCTATCAATAGTATAACTCTAAGAAAGATATGCGTTATGCCTCCATGTCTATAACTCGGAAAATCCGATAAACCTCAACCCAATCGCTATGCTAACAATGCCAGTGTATAATGTATTGTTTTTTTTTTCTTTACGCCACTGCTGCCAGAGCTCTGACCTCGACAGTTTCGTTTTCGGCGGCTTTTTGCTTGTTGGCCTCTTCGAGCATTTCCGCCTTCTTGTTCTGAATACTGAGGTACGTCTGCCAGCAGACACTGACGCAGCCGGCGACGAGGCCGCGGAACTGAAAGGGCACAAAGGCCAGGTTAAAGGCAATAACCGAGGGCCAGACGATCCAGCTGTTCTTCCACGTCTCGGGGCCCTTTTCCATGACGCGCTGTACGGGGTCGGCGCCCGTCAGCAGCGCCTGCATGGAGAAGAAGTAAATGTTGATCAGGGGCGCAAAGGTGAACTGGTTAAACAGCACCCGGGTCGCGACCGACAGCGCCTTGGACGAAAAGGTGAACCATCCGCCCAGAGCCTTGAACCACTCATACCCGGGGATCGAGAAGCAGGCGCCCGTGATGAGCATGTTGCGCGTCCGAATGGGGTCGTACTCTTTTCCGCCGATTCTCTGGGCGTTGAGGTCTGCAATGAGGTAGATGAAGAGCGACGAGCAGACCTGCGTGACCCACGGCCGCTTCTGGTTTGCTCTGGTAAAGGCATTTGCCGCTTTCGTAAGAGGCCCGAGTCTTTGCCATATCGCTAGGTTGGTCGTCGGCGCATTCGAGGGAGTCGAGGGTGCGCCGGGCGCAATCGCAGCAGCAGCATCATCTGGTTTCGGGGGCTTTGTCGCATTTGGACCTGGGCCCGTCGATTGGAAGCGCCGCGGGGGCTTTGCTGTTCGTATCGGGTTCAGGCTTCGCCGGATGGCGCTCTGAATGTTTGTGGCCAGCATGCTGGATAGTTTGCTGGGTTATTTGGATATCATGGTAGCAATGAATTGAGAAAATGCGCTCCAATCTAGCGCTGCCACAAAGAAAGTGGAAATATGGCGTGCGAAGATCGGCGCCCTATGACTTGATCTCGGATATGACAAATCTACGGGTGCCGAGGGGCAGAACCGAGTGAGATCAAATCCGGGGGCTTATGGCGCCTATCTTTAGCGTCGGCGGATTACGGATCTGCCCCTGAACTGGCCAAGCGCTGGCTTTAGTATACCCTCCACACCGGGAATAACCACTAAATGAACATTTACATTCAGTCTGGCATCTCCTTCCTGTGGCAGCCAAAACTCTACTGTTGGGAGGACTCATACTGGGAAATCTTGTCATTCAAAACATCACTTCCGCGACTTAAACATATAGTGACATATCCAATGATAAATATGTATGGACTTTTATAACTTAGCTCAGCCGGCAAAGTAGAGATAACCTGCCAAGGAGAATAATTGCAAGATGTCATTTATTTCACGACAAAGGCTCTACTCTTCAAAAAGTGATCATACGCAAGCTTCTAAGTTTGAATACGAAACCTTGATATCCTGATCTCCTGCGATCTCAAGCCCACACACGGGTCTCCCCGTTTACTCTTCATCCAAAGAATGAACCTCTAAATTCCTATATCTTGCAACCAATGGCGCCATTTGTCGAAAGCCAATGCGTCCGCCACCAACAACGGGACCAGTATTTTCCTTGGCGTCGTCGCCGTCGTCAGTCCAGCTAAAAAGCGGCAGCCCTTCAATCCCAAACTTGACGTCCCGACCGTCCTTGACGACCTCGATCCTGTAAAAGGCGCCCCGGGCGTCCACAACCGGCGGCAACGGATCCGCGCCCTGCGCCACGAGATGGAACCCGGGACTCTTGCGCAGGTTACACGTATGAAACGCCCTCTCGTCTTCCCACCGCCTCCGAAAATATGACACGTGCAGGGTGCGGATATCGCTCGAGTGGTACTGGGGATACGCCCCGTTGCGCGGCTTGACGCCGTCACCAAATATACTGCCGCCGTTGTTGTCACCTCCCTCTGGGACGGAAGCAACAGCAGAAGCGCCAAAAAAGAGCATGGCCAAGCCAGGTTCCTGCACCGGCGCAAACTCCCACGTGATGCGGATCCGGTCCGGAAACACCTCTGGACACCAAAAGGTAAAGTGGTCGTCCCAGCCGCCGGTCGAGGTCAGCTCGACTGAGGAGCCGTTGGGGCTCGTGGTTGCTTTCACGGGGCCTTCGGCTACCCAGGTCTCGACGTCTGCAGCCGACGACAGCGCATTCTTGTATAGGAGCGTTGGGGCCATCTTGGCATCCGTCGGGCGTAGCTTGAATAAGTACTGTATAGCCCCCCCTGCTAATTATATCTTCAAGGAATGAAACAATACAGCACCTGATGAATAAAACAAAGTGTATAAGATGATTAAAAACGACAGTATGAATCGACGACCAACCTCGGGAATTGCCCGACCAGTCACTCAAGTTCGAAGCAAGCACGCCATTCAATCCCCGTCAAAGTGGGACCATATCATTGCCAACTTGTCCCTATCTTCGCTTCTGAAGAAGGATACAGCAAAATCTTTTTTCGCCCTCCTACTTGCTTTCTGAGCTCAAGTTCGAGAAAGACCCCTGTCTACATGCAAGAAGGAAAAAGACACTTTTGTTGCTGATGCTGCAAACCGTGTCCCTTTGATCGGACAACTTTTTTTTTGTTACAAGATATCTACAATAGATTACGGTGTACATACTGGCCACGGCCAGATCGGTTGCCTGGAATCAACGTCCGTATACGACAAGCCTTCTGTTGCCATTAGACAAAAACCTCTTCAATGTCACCCGTATCCTCTGCGCCGACCATGATGCCTTCGTTTGGATCACCCGGGTGGGCCTTGCCATTATCTTCGTAGGCAATTCGTTGCCAGCCGCATGGCTCTGATCCATCCTTCTTCCACTCAACAGTCGGAAAGTAGTGCTCGTTCTTCTTCATCGTAATGACCCAAGGGACATTATCAAAGGTCATGGCCTTTATGCGGAAGTCTAGAACGAGAAATTAGTAAACAATTTCAGAATGTCAAGTTACATAGGCAGAGGAGCTTACATGTGTTGTCGGGAATCTTGGTCACTGCCTCAAGGAACGTCTTGAGATCAGGCGTTGGCTTCCCGTTGATGTGTGTGATGAAGTTGGTTGGAGCAAGACCATACTGGTACGCCGGCGATCCTCTGGTTCTGGCCGAAACGTACACTTCACTGTGAAGCTTGCTAATTTGTTGGCGGACGGCATGATGCGGCGCATGCAAGATAGCACCACAGAATGAAACTGCATGGTCGGTTTCGACATCATCTGCTGATACGGTAGGGACCTTGAGGTTCAACTCCTCAGAGTCGCGGACAATTACAGCGTCAAGAACTTCATGGTCGTACATGATGTCGAGTTCCGACACACGGGTGATCATCTTGCCATTCAGCGTAATGATAATATCGCCCTCTTGCAGAACTTGTGGTTCATTACCACGCTCAAAGGTTCGTTTCGACACCATGAACAGCTGATGGGCGTGCTTGTTGGCGTGCGAGACCTTTTCAATCCACTCTTCAGATACTCCCATGACGCGCGCTTGAGACATGTGAATGGCCCTAAATTCCATGGAGAGAATCCGAAGACTGGGTTTCTTGCCCTGTTGAATCTGAGAGATGACAGGTAGTAGAGTTGGTGTCGCCAAGCCCAGATGATACTCCTCATCCCGTGAGCTGTGTGCTGATCTCTCGCCGAGATACGTCAGCCACATAGCCTGGACGGTGCCCTCCTTGTCGACTAGTACACCACTTCCACACTGGCCACTAAGATTTGTGTCGACAGTAATGGCGTCAACATTGGTCGCTCGATATCTCGGTGCTCCACTGTTTGCTGGTATCGTAACGGCAGTGATTTCTGTAACAGTGGTTGCTGCATGAACAACCTTGCCGCTCCTGTTGTAGCCCAGGAATGTGGTTGGGGCACCTTGTGTGAGATTCTGCGTGCTCAATCTAGCGCTTTGGACTGGGGCATCCACCAATTCCGGATCATACTTGACAATAGCATAATTTTGGAGAGGGTGGAGGAAAACGACCTTGCCTTCGACCACTATGGAATCAGCGATAGTAATCCAGATGTCGCACAGGTCATAGGGCACTATGGCTCGGGAAATCAAGACGAGGCCCTTTTCGGCATCAATGACCAGACCCATGCCCCATTTCCGGTTGCGAGGAAAACCATCCAATTTGACGGGCATGGTGCAGTTGACATGAACAAAGCTTCGCACCAAGTCGGCAACAGCAGGGTGCGATGTGTGTTCAAGTTGAATGTAGTTGCCCTTGCGTCGGACTGGAGGCACAGCAGGAATCGGGTCTGCCAAGTCCGTGAAATCCCAAAGCCCTGAAATATCATTTCGGACAGCGAGGCGCATCTTGGTTGACCAATGTCTGTCCACGTTAATGATAGTAGTGTTGAGAGTATGCAAATCCCTAAGGTGCTTATAAGTCACAACGACCCTCTTCTTGTCGGGAATACCCTTCATGACTTCGATGAACGTCTCCAGATCAGGCGTCTTCTTCTTGTCAACGCTTTGGATCATCCAGCCATTATCTGCCGACTCGAAACGGAAAGATCCTGTAGAGTCGCACACGAAGACACCCTTACAAGCTACGCCATAAAGACGGGCCTGCTGATATGATAAGCTGTGGAAACTTGCGCCCGCGACAGACACAAAACGGTCAGGGGTGATCATGTGAAGATCGCCAACGTCAATGTCGACGTCAATGTCCTCCCCGCCGCGTTGCAACGATACACGAATACTCTTTCCAACGTGCGAGTCCAATATGTCGTCCAGACGGATAAAGTCGGCCAGAAGCTCGCCGTTGACCTTGATCAAAACGTCACCCTCCTCGATCTTGTTGTGTGATGGGCCTTCCGGTAGTACTATCTCGGCGACTAGCATATTGGTTGCCTTGGGGAACTGCTTTCGCATTGCGGCTTCCCACTCGGAGCTGAGACCAAGTCGTCGACATTCGTCAAAAGGTTTCATGAGGAACTGGCACTGGATCGACCCGCGCTCGACGGGCTTGCCCTCTTGAATGCACTTCAGAGCTCGCAGGGGTCGGTCGAGCGGCAAGAAGTAGTCGGTAGACGCGCCGTCGGAACGTCCACCTGCTTGCAGTGCAATGGCATGGCCATCAATGTTGACTACTGGACTGCCAGACGAACCACCACTTGCGGCTGCGTTTGCTTGGTAGTAACAGGTGTTGAAGTCACTGTAACCTTCGCCATATTCGGGGGCGTTACGGTCCAGTCGACTGATGACACCAGACAAGATACTGAGCTTTTCTCCGGCATCGTTTCCGACAACTCGGATCTCGATTCCAACTATGACGTATTTCAATCAGTGCAAGGTTCATTTGTGATTCAGACCCTCCCCAGCACGTACCTTTGACCAAGTCGGGGCGCAACTTCAGGGCGGAGACGGGCATGTATTTAATCTTCTTGGGGTCAAATCGGAGGATACCAAAGTCGTGAACTGGATCGCGGTACACGGGGTAAGCATCGACTTCCTCGTGGTTATCGAACACGACATAGCCCCAGAATGGGCCTGAGCCTACAACATGGCGATTCGTCAAGATGTAGCTATATCCACAATGTCAGTTTAATGGGTTCCTTCTTTTTTCGTGGTGCATAATAGCTACAGACCCTTTCTCAGCGTCGACGACAAAACCTGTTGCTTCGCTCGTCAGAGCTGCTTCCGTGTCAAAGGCGGCGGTTTGGCAGAATCTGATGGAAACAACGTTCCGAATGACGTTTTCGACGGTTGCTTGCCATTCGGCAGTATCTGGTGGTTGCACCGGGTAAAAGGGTGGCGCGACCATGTCGGCGTCTTCGAGCTCCCTCTCGACGTCGGGCGTATTAATCCCGGGCGAGTCGACGCCGCCGTTGGGAACGAGGAACCGCTGCTTCGGTGGGCGCTCTCCGGCAGAGGAGGGGAAGCTTCCCTTGCGCTTTGATGTGGCGCCGTTCATGGTTGCAATGTTTTCGCGATCGTGCTTTTGCGCCTGTAGTTGATGTTCACCAGCTTGGGACGAGGCGAAGCGGCATCGGGTCGCGGCAAGAATCGGCGATGCAGCTCTGGCGGGCTTCCAATGCAGGTATTGAGTATGGCTCGGTATGGACACAAATCGAGAAATTGGACGACTGTTGGAGATGGGCGGTAAAACACGGCGTGCGAAGCTTGAGCGGAAGCTGTTGCTTTTGCTGTTGCGCAGGCCCGAGAAGGATGGCCTCATCCAGCGCAATGGTTTTTGGCAAGCTTCAACGCCAGAACATCCGCCCAAGGAACAGTGCCGCGGGTAAAGAGAAATTGGTCGACGTCAAAAGTCTGGACGCCCGGAACGAACTGAGATCAAGAAAGATGAAGGAAATAAAATACAGCGGGCAAATTGTGCCTGAGAAGTTGGAGAGAAACGAAGAGGATAAAAAGTTGCCCTCTGATGAAAGTCTTGAACCAAAAGCAACAACCCTGGTGGCCTTCTGTCGTCAGTCAGACCTTGCCATTGGCCTCGCTGTGGATTCGCAAAAAGCAGGGCCCGATGTCTGCCTTCAAGTCTTTTGCAGTCTGCTAACCCTTTCAAAGTCTAGCGGTTGATCCACTAGCCGACAGGGACCTGCAGGGATTTCAGTGGTTATGGGAATGAGGTTGGCTACATCACTATTAGTCAGCCTCGCAGTCCCACGAACACCGTCTCTTTGCGTACAGTTTCTGCTCTCAAACAACACTATACCATCAACACCTTTTGCTTCTCGTATCTATCTACTCTTGAGATGGTTTGCATATGTTTTCAAGTCATTCTTACCACACGATAGCGAACTCTTGGTCCCCATAAATACCTGGACATTTCGCACTCATACAATGGATGAGTTTCCATGAGTCAAACTGTATCAATGAAACGCGACACCAGTCCATACACCCATATACTAGTGGAACCGTGATCACTCCAAAGCTTCTTGATCCTCCTACGTTGGTTGTGATACGACATGAATCGCCTGGAATGTCATGGAGTAACCGCCAAGCACGGTACAGTTCATCCTGTAAATGTCAATCTCAAAAACTCGTCACATTATTATTTCATTTTTTTAACCAAAAACGACAAGAATTTTGCTCGTTTTAATCGAGTCATTTCGAGATTCCCCTCACGGAAAGGGTATAAAATAACTGGGCTCAAACCTTGATATCATTGTCTACCCGAGTATCTACCCTGCCTGGTGCGAGACAAAAACTAAGTATCGCATTTGAAGTCCAAGAAATGCCCCATCAAGAGTAGATGTCCTGTCAAAAGACCCAAAAAGTATCAACGCCAATTCATTAGCAAAAAATCCCCAATCCCGCTTAGACTTTTCCCCTTGGTATAAAAGAATAACAAGTCGTCCATCAAGGACAAGAATCGAAGAAAAAAAATAATTTTAAGGCTTAAGTGAGGGTTCAGACAATGATATTTGGTTGCGCGCGGGTCCCCTTCCTTTGTCTCGTTGTCTGTCCAGGGCGTCTCAATATAGTGCCGTCGTCCATGGACTTATCTCAAGTTGTGGAATCATCTCTTCGTATCACATGACCAGAGTTTGACACAACAATAGATTGATTAGATGAGAAGAGGAATGAGTGCAGCGACAGCAGCGGCTACTACTCCGGAAACCTGAAGGGCCGAAGCTCCTGCCTGGACGGGAATACCAGTGGTCGTGCTCGTGGGGAGAAGTCCGGTGGTTGCGATGGCAGTGGTGTTGGAACCGACAGTGGCAGAAGCAGAATGCATCGTGTGGACAACAGCCGAGGTGTAGGTAGTGCAGCCACCCGTCGGGTCAGTCTCGGTGTAGATGATCTCGGAGGTATACGTGGTACACTCTCCAGTCGTGCTAGCAGCTGACGCCGTGGTCATTGTCGTCACAGCAGCCTCGGACAAGGCACTCGACGTCGAAGCGACAGTGGTGGTCGACGTCAAAGTGGCGGTGTAAGTCGATGTAGCAACGACACTCCTTGTGAGTCGATTTGTGTTAGCTTTCTTATTTTCCTTCTAGAATGTATAAGAATTCCCAGCAAGCTTAAATGCTCGACCGACAGGTGACATAGGTATTTCCCGGGCCAAACATACGGGACCGGGAAATAAATTCTCAGGGGCAGAATCGTCTAGAGAAAATCGCAAAAAAAATAAAACACCACAGGATTTTAGTACTTACATAGACTGGAGCCCGCCGGTAACGCCATACGAGGCAGCACAGTCGTCAGTCGACGTACCCTCTGGGCAGCAGTACGTTTCACCGACCGAGTCCGCCGTGCAGTAGTAGCCAGCATTGCAAGAGTCTCCGCTGCTGTTGGGGCAGCATGTCTGAGCATTGGCAAGGTCGTAGCAGTGAATCAGGTCGTCGGTAGAGTAGCACTGCTCATATCCAGCACCGCAAGCCTCGGCGCATGTGTCGCCCGTTCCACAAGCAGTCGAGTCTGGGTAATATCCTGCACCTGCCTGGCGTCCCATGAGGACATCCTTTACGGACATCTTTGCCATTTGAGGCTTGTAGGGCTTCTTGACGCCCTCGGCGACAACAGCCTGGCCTGCAAGGGCGGCGAAAGCGATAGCAGAAAACAGCATCTTGACGTGATTTGATATGGTTTTTTTTTCCTTTTTCGACGAATTGATAGTGTTTACGGTGTAGATCCGGCTCGTGCAAATGAGAGAGAATGTAGTTAGAGAAGGAGTGTGTGACTGCAACAAACAGCAAAGAAGAAAACGAGTGTGTATTTCCAAAAGGAGCGACTGGAAAATGGTTCAAAAGACGGGCGATGGTCAACAACCGCGATGCTCAAAAAAGAAGCAGTGAGTGAGTAAAAAGAACCAGAAGAGAGGCGAAGGGCAAAAAAGTGCCGCATGATTGCCTCAATATATTACATTGTATCTTGCTTGTCAAGGGAAGTCGAAACCTGACCGGGGTTGTCCGGAAACATGGCGCCGTTATTTCATATTATATTAGCCAGCCCTGGATATTCCAAAATGCCCCTCTGGGGTAACGCAAGCGCACGAGAATAGCACCAGTGCGCTGCTGTGCGTGGGCAATCACCAATTGGTCTTGCATTAGCTTCAGCTGAAAACATGTTTTCAATTGTCTATTGCCAATAAGAAGGGAAATTTTTGTTCCCGTCTTATTCTTCGTATAAATGATTACCGTCATGCATGGAAGAAAACATGAAAGATGCAGCTCAAGCAGCCGCATTTGTTCCTGCTGAAAAAAATAAGTTGCATCTCATGAAGTACGACACTAGGATGGTCATTGCACGACATAAGCGCGTGGTTGTCCTGCAATCAAACGCACGGGCGCAGATGCACCTTTTAGACCCAAGCCCAAGGGGGAAGAGAATACTACTTGGCCCATGTGCGATTGTTCGGGAACAAGGGTAAGCGAGGTCGGGAAAACCTGGGACTGGAAGAACGCGCGACGCAAGCAGAGAAGAGAAAAAAGTACCAATGCCACGGGTCTGATGAGAAGACAGAGGACAGACAGACTGGGACAACCCAAGCTAACAAGAGCTTGTTATGTTAATGCCGGGCCTACAAGCCATAGCGGCGGCCATTGCTTGCCATGCTAATAGAGCCGGCAGTCGGGGCAGTATAGTAAATAATATATGCAGCCAATTGAGGCCAGAGGCAATAATCCATGAACAATTTGACAAGACGCAAAATAAACCCCAGTTGGGCAATCATGACCGCTCGACCTGCCGAAATATGATCCTTCCGCTTCTTCAGATAAGGGGGCCAAGAGACTAGCATTGCAAAAGAACAAACAGAATAAGAAATGCAGAGCAATTTGCTGAAATGAGTCGCTTTTCCATTCTACTCTGACATTTTGCCTTCAACTAGTTGAGAAGAAACAAACAAAAGAGAACGAACAAACAAACGAGCGGTCTGGTCCTCTCTCTCCTGGTTTGTGTTTACATAACCTAGGCCCATCTATAAATTGCAAAGGGAGAAGCGAGACCCCATATGCCCGCGGGGCCAACAAGACATGCATTGTACCTGAGATGCCGTGGCGGCATGGTTCTCTACCTTTTGCATATTCGATCTTGCTTCCGAAGGACGTTGGAAATGAAATGAGACAAACGTCAGCACGCTTCAACGTGGCACGGGCATTCGAAGGAAGGAGAGAGAGGGTGTCGTGAGATGGATCGCTGCCATGTAGAAAACAGCCCTGTCACCCAGGTACTACTTTGTAAGTAGAGTTATTAGGTGGTTTAGCACAAACGTAGGTCCCATAGGATGTTCCTAATATTGTTGTTAAGGTTAATAGTAGTCGTAGACCTCCAACACTGCTGTCCCTAACTCAGTGGACACCGGAGCCGCCGTTAAAGGCAAAAGGAAAGGGAACCGTCGCCCGTCCCTCATGAACGACACCCAGCTAGCGCCTGAACGGACCCCGAACCCACTGGCGGACGTCAGGGATGCAAAGTTGAACCCCCGCAATGGAAATGATCGCCAGGAACAGAGTGCCCATTTCGAAATCATGCTGTCTTCTGATTTGCTGCATTATAAATAACCTTGTTCTCTGCGTTTCAGATCTATAGTGGCATTCACTTGCTGGCCCATGCTCCCTTTTCCATTGAACTTCATATGCAAATATGCTTGCTTGACTACCAATGCTACCTTCGCTACCTCAATCCACAATGCTCTCTATTATGTATTTGTTGCACAATGACACATGCTGCTTGTACAATCTGTTCGCCTCTTTCGTAACAGGGAACCCTTTTCCATACATCAAGTCCTGCTTGACAAGCTGCTTCATTTTCAAGAAGAGCATCTATAGTTTTTATAAAAACTCCTTCACCTTTTGTTATACAAATCCCTCAAATCTGCTTCTCTAGAAAAGCTCATTCCCTGGTTCTTGGCTCTCGTTTGAGGCTTTGAGCCACCACCTCCGGCACCTTTCTGCCAGTGCTGTTCATTTGCTCCCCATATAGCGGGACAACTGTGCCATGTCGTAGTTCCAGATACGAGGCACTGGAGCTGGCACCTCTTTGGTGAAATCATTGCGCCAGGGGTGCTGTAGCGTGCTCTTAGTAGATGTCGCCTTAGGCGCTCTGGTGAATTTTGCCGTCTTGTCGACATCGACCCGCGGGTATCGGAATTCCGAGGATTTGAATTCATTCGGGCACATTGGCTTGAAGTGGTTGTTGTCGACAAACTGCATGAATATATGGCGCGAATTGTACGCTCCCCGAACGGCAGTCTCAGTAATGATGGGATCTCCTTCGAGCGTTTTCTCACACGTGAAAACAATGAGACAGATATTATACAGATCAGCTGTGACCTGTTGCATCAAAGCAGGCGTCCACGAGTGCGCCATGTGTAGGACTTGGTATAAGTTCGCTTGGAACAAATCCAGGCCATTGCCCATGGAATCAGCGCTGGATGTATTGAAGAACTTCTTGTTGAGCTTCTCAGCGTAAAGTTGATGACGGGCATGGCCCGGCTGAGAAAGAACATGCTTGACATAAGCCAGATGCTCCGACTTGACGAGGTTCCAATGATCGCCAGAGCCGTAGAGGCAAAACGAAACGCTACGCCAGTAGCAGTCTCCAGCCGGTACGGTATGGTTGTGCTGGACGATGAACTCGACACTTTCGACCAGCGGAAATCCCTTCATCACACAGTACTGATCAGGCCTATTGGAAGGGCACCACTCATCCAAGATGGCGGTGTCCTCGTCCACTGTGAGAACAGCCCCATAGACACCATCAAGGGCCTGCTGAATGGCCTTTTCAGTATTGTAGAGGTTCTTGTTCCTACCTTCAACCAGAAACTTTTGAAACTTGAGGCGATGGCCAGCCAAGGGACTGGGAACCTCGCCAACACTGCTAGACCGATTCTGAAATCGAAGCAGGCGATTTGTCGCAGGCACCGACATGTGATTACTCAGTTCGTAGAATCCAGGACTATCCTCCCGAATCTCCTGCTGCCTGAAGTCATTCATTGCATCGAGTTGCCACTCATCACCACCTTCAATAAGGGCATCGTGACTGATGTAAGAATCCTTTCCATAGGAATCCATAGAGCTCTCACTGTTTGGATGACCATAAGCATCATAGTTGCCATAGCTGTGAGCACCATCAACAGCTCCTTCATTGTGGAGGATGTGAGTTGAGTGTTGTGGGCTGCGGGCGGCTGTGGTAGCTGGCATGATCTGGCGACCTGGTGTCCGGTGGCTTCCTGGAGCATCACTCCCTTGGCGACCGGCCCCACCCACGCGCCATGGATTGAAGTCAGTTGGCGATTCCTCATCATCTGAGTCCAAGCTGATTATGTTGCTCATGGGTGCCACCGCCGGGGTTTTGCGAGTTGCCGTTCTATGGCTATTGTCCTTGTCGCGACTTGATTGTTGGGGGCTCTTGCGTGCGAGTGGGGTGACACGATGGGTTTGGCGCTGATTGAAGGGCTTTGGTTGATGTCGGAGACTGGTCTTGACGATGATGACACCCTTACCAGTGACAAAGGGATTCTTCATACGAATCGTCTCAAGCTCCTTGTTGTAAATTGTGACCCAATCGGGTTCATCCGTCTCGGTAGTGACCGAACGAGATTCGGGTGTAGCAGTGGTCTGAAAAGCGTCCATCGCATTATTATCGTCCGGCTCGATGGCGGCGTTGATGCACACTCGACTGAAGGACAGCAGGGAGCGGGGGGTCTGCTTAGAGTCATTGCCAGCACGTTTGGAGACCAAGTCCGAGAACTGGCAGTCGCTCATGCTGGGCGAGGCAGTAATAGGGCTAACGAGCATGTTGCTCTGGGTCAAGATCGAGCTTCGACGCTGGCCAGTGTGTGCGAATCGGTTCGCCGTGAGAGGAGTCGTGGCGATCGCGGGCTCTCCTGACTTCTGGCGTTTGGCCGAGAAGATAAGGGTCTGGGTGGAAACGTCATTGCTGACTGCAGCGTCCTTGGTCTCCATGTGGACGCCATTTTCTTCAACATTCTTTTGCAGGAAGGAAACAAACTCGGAGGGGTGCTTGCCGCCATGATGTGCCTTGAGCTCCTCAATGAGAGCCTTAATATTGTCTTGCATGTCCTGAGACTTGCGCTGATGCTGGAGGTCCTCAAACTCGTCTAAAGAAATAATTTGACTGCTCGGTACCTCGCTCAAGGATGGGCTCATGGTGTCCTGGTGAATTGGTGCGCCAGGTTGATAGATTGGTGAATCTGGAGAGTAGTCTGGAGAGCCTCTGTGTAGCTCTGACGATGATAAGTCGTACTCTGCGGGATCAGGCTGGGACTGTAACATGAATGACGGCAGCTCTGGTGAAGATGGCTTTTGGAGCAATTTGTTCCTAATGTAGTCTCCAGCAGCAAGTCCTGCGATGTCAAGAACCTACGGAGAAATTAGGATTAGTTGAAGTTCAAGACAAGCGATTCTCTCTTCATGGGTTATCTGAAACAAGAGAAGATTCGAGATGACAGCAAAGGCTGGAAAGAAAGGGAGGGAAGGTGTCAGGCTCAAAGAACTCACCTGCCGCTCGTGGTTCAGCTGGGCCAGTGGAGTCGGCGTGTAGGGTCTCTTTGGTTGAGGGTGAAGCAGCTCCAATCCAGCTTCATCTGACGTGCGCTTTCTAGCGATGCCGCCGGTGGTGCCACCTTCCGACGACATGGTTACGGTTGGACAGCGATTGCCGCTGTTATTTATCTTGAGGTACGGTATAGATATGCAATGACTCTTATCAAGTGCATGAATTGTATCGGGGTCTTTGGTGGGTTGTTATGCCAGATGCAGGTGGATTGTTTGTAATGGCTGCAATTGTTGCTGGGGTTAGTCCAATGATGACTGTTGACGAGATTGTAGTTGCAATTGTGAACAGTGCTTCAGTCACTGTGTAGTGCCTGAGGGATATCTGATTGCCAGCAAAAATAAAATTTTGGAAGCAGCTGGGATTCAAATGTGATTGCAGCTGGTGAAAGAATCGTGGTGACGATGAGCCGTTTGTGGAAGCGGTAATGGGGTTTATGCGTCTCAAAGGCAACGGCTGTATGAGGCACGTTAGTTTGGACGAATCTCGAGGGGAGAAACTGAGCAGCTTTCAAGAAAGACAAAATCAATTTCGGGAGAAAAATCGTTGGGAGAAGATTTGACGGGGGCGACTGACTTGAATCGATCGAGTAGTTGGAGTGGGTGGATGGGTGGATGGTCGAATGAATTCTCGAATGAATGAGACTTTGCATGTAGAAGTGGGAGCAGGCAAGGAAGGAAGGATGGTGGTTTTTTTTTTTTTAAGCAAAGGCCCGTCTGTTTCCTTAGCCCAGACACGCTCTTGAGGGTGACTCGGGCGTGGTACTTTGTTCTGCAGCCTTGATTTTCAACGCGTGAGGAGGGGAAGGGGGAAAAAAAAGTGCAAACGCCTTACCACGGGTCACAGAGCATGGATCTGATGCGTGGCGGGAAATGGGGAGACAATGAACACACGGCTGCAGAGAAGTGGTGTTGAGAATGCAGTATTCCTCTTCCATGCCTTTGATGAAGCTGTGATGCGTAAGAAATCCAGGACTTACTTGATTATCTCAGGCGGTCGGCTGGCCTGTTGGACAGAAAGCTTGCTTTGTATGTGCACGAGTGATTGAAGTGGATGAAGAGTGCAAATGGAATGGGGCACGAAGGAAATAATATCTGGCGAATCTTTGGACTTTGAGCTACCGGCGAAGTCCAGAACCAGATTTGGATTGTTCTCTTTTGGTCCAGAGATTTGGATTGTTCAATGGCCGAGATCACTGGATGACGCTGCGGAAGTGGGTCCAACGTACCAGAATTTGGATGATTTTTTTTTTCTCAAGTCGTTGTCGTTTGCATTTTGATGATGCCTATTATTCTACGGTCATCTGAGCCAGTACTCCTCCTCTCTGGTCCTGGCAAACTAGGTGTGAAGTGATGGACATGCTCGATACTAGAAACAATGGGCCACCAGGGTCTCGATGGGCGTAAAATACTTCTTATTCTATCCAAATGGCATTCAAAAGGCAGATTGAGAGAGGCAAGACATGAATGGGAGGAATAGAGTCGATCAGGCACACAAGTTCATGTTAGAATTTGTCATTTGTATCCTCAAGAATACCATTGAAGTAGCCTGTCTTTCTCGAGTTACTGACTGCTGTTCCTCTCACAACAACACTGCCAGTCTGCATTACGCCAAGATGGATTCTTCTCACTGCATTATGTCAGCCTATGCTCAGGAGTTAAGATAGCAATGTCAGCCTGGGTGACAAATTTCCAGTCGACACCACAAGCATGTCCATCATTGACCTTTTTGTCTTGAATGAGTATTGCATCTCTACAGGACGATCTAAGCATAAAACTTGGAAGCATCTGAGGTTCAACACCCCAAATCACAATAATTGTGCCCTTAGATAATTTCAAACAATATCAGTCACCTGCTCTATGATTGATCGTGGCTTGACTTCAATATTATCCAAATGCACATTCGTTCCCCTTGTTATGCATTTGGCACCATACTTATCTACCTTGCCTAGGTAACTTCACGAATAACACAGCACTATCAATCACAAATCAATCACACTTGTACCATAACTCCACACAATGGTATGTGGTCGTCCCGCCCGTGTCTGCAGGCAGTACAGGCCGACGGGTCCAGGCGCCAAAGCCAAGACCACACCTCTATCTATCATTTACCCGAAAATCCACATTGCCGACGCGGACAAGGACCCCCGGGGGGATAACCGGGGCCGAGTAGCCGCATATCGTGAAGGATTGACGAGTCAGCACTCGACATTGCGCTAGAATACTTACGGAGCTCCTATATGCCTATGACTGGAAAGGTGCTTAGGTTGTTCTGCCCTTACGAGCAGTATTGTTCTCGAAAGCCTGTCGTAGAGCACAACCCACGACGACACGTCAGTTTCTACATTGTTTCTCCTGCAACGGTGAAATCAAGGCGCATGATAAGTTGGAGATCTGTATTTTGGTCACGGACAGAATATTGGATATTTGGAAGTTTATTCTCCTTTTATTAGATGCAAAACCTAAAGGGCCACGTCGATAAGCCCAGACGAGCCTTCCGTTTAGTTCAATTCCAAAGAGCATCCAAACACTTCTTCGGGTGTCGTGCCAACGGCTCTGTTTTACTCCTACAATTCTTCAGATGACCCAGCTGTATGTTTGCACCATCGACTCATTAGATAGATTGCTCTCTACATTCGATTCATAGTCTATGCGCTCAATGTCCGTACTAGGGAGTGGTCGTTCCTCCATGAATCTCGGACAAGAGATCAGTAAACTGCTTCTTCTCGACGTTTTGCGCATGCATCTTGACGTTTTCGAGCAGGTCCTCCTGCACCGCCGTCTTTCCCGAAGCCCTGATGATTCGCCAGGCTCGGCGAAACTCATCTCTGATAGAGACAATCCCGTGGTGAGTTACTGTGCGGGCTACATTGTGATCATGCTCAAATGGGTCCTCGATGGCGAACAGGTAACGGTGCCGAACCTCCTTCACCTCTTGGGGTTTGGCTGCAATATCGGATCTGACCTGGCCATCTGGTAAACTCTTTTGTTCGTCATTCTGACCGCCTTCTGCAGCCGATCGCGCCATAGATGCATCAGCCGGCTTCAAAGGGACTCCCGTGTCTGGCGCAGTCGGGGTGGGTGGAGCACCCATTTGTGTTTGCATCACAGTCTTTGCCTGTACCCAGTTTTTCTCTTGTTTGCTGAGAAGGCCTCCAGGCGTTCTGAGACTAATGACATCTCGGCCCCAATCGAAGCCTCGCTTTTGTATCGTACTCATCATATTGTTTTGCGCATAATATTCAAAGAATCCCCTCATTAAGTAACCGATAGAATCTCTATTGGCATTGAGAACGCCTTCTTGCGAAAGGCGCTGGATCTCATTCTCGTTGCGCCAGAAACGTACATTGCGTCCTTTGCAGGTCGTAATACCTTCAAGTTCCCCAGGTGGTAGTTGAGGGTCCTCCGGAGCGAGGATTTGCAAATTGGGACACACAAACGGCTGAATGACGTTGACCAGATAATGTATCACCATTAATACATAGCCATAACTGCTGAGAGTGCCTCGGTATGGGGTGTTGATGTCTCTGGCTTTGGCCCAATGCTTGACGAAGAGCACCATGGGCCTGACACGCGGGTCAGTAGCTGCATAGCATCGAAGCAAGTGACTGTTCTGGAGGGCAAGGTCGGCGGAAAAGTTGATGTCACACTGAACACCAATTCCTGACTGCGGAAACTCGAGTCGGTCATGGTAGCGATCCTTAGGCTGATTCGGTGCAAGCTGACCAGGGCTCGGCAATTCCAATATTCTGCGGTAGACTTGCCTCAGCGAGTCGTCGACTGGGAGGCGGTATTCATGACCATCAACTGCAGGGGTCTGAACCAGATCGCTGCGAAGAAATTGAATGTACTCCTTGATCAAGGGGACATCATCCTCACTGTAAAGACCGCCCTTCTCAACTGCCCTTGCGTAATCATTGGCGAGATGTAGGCTTCCATGTCTCCGAGCCACATCTTTCAGGTCCTTCGTGCCTGTGTTACGGACAAAGACTTCGCATTTCTCCCTTATCTCCTGATCATCGATTCCAGAAACGTAGTATCCAATAATTGGTGAAGTCAATTCTGAAGACGAATGAGGAGCAATTCTCAGCTGGGCCATGACCTTGCTAGCACGGCCAAAATAATCTGCAGCCGACTCATAGGGTTCCTGTTGCAATTGCATCAACTGGACAGACGGGATCTTTCGCAACTTCTCCAGAACCAGGAACATCTCCTTGTTAAAGGTAAGCGGGTCCAGGCCAAAGTACCGTGTTCTATGAAACTCGGACCACCAATGCACTGTTCTTGCATGTGATTGTTCAGAGCGTGGGTCACTCTCGTGTATGACTCTGTTCTCCCAAAGCATGACCAGTTTCTCGCCTTCGGCCATATTACAGACTCCGTGTAATGTCCTCCAGTTTGACAAGTCGCCTTTGCTGGCAAAAGATGGATGTAGCATCAAACGGTTCCGCAGAGCAGTATCATTCAAGCCCTCGACAAAGGAACTGCTAACCTGGTCCAAAAGATGAAATTCTTTGGCAGTAAAGACGCTGATATTTGAATGTGTTATGTCATGGCCACCAAGTTGTCGCAGAATCTTCTTGGCCTGGTTGTGATACGCGAGTAAAGTCTGATTGTGAGACTGCTTCAGCGAAGATAACAAGTGTTGACGTGAAGCATCTTTGTCCTTTTTCGGCACGGCATCGTTCTCAGCTTGTACTCCTGTAGCGGGGATGGCTGTGTCTTGTGGTATGGTTTCTGACTGCTGCTTGAATGTCTGTTCGTCAGATGGAGCATCGACCGTGTTTTCTTCGGCAGCATTGGCATCATCATCCGTCAAGCCCTGTTCCCATTTTCTGCGCTCTTCAAGAAGAGCAGAGTGAAGTTGCTGGCCAGGCTTTTCGCACAATTTGATGATTGGAACTCTGGTCCGGGTTAGAAGCCGTGCACCAAAACCAGCATCAAGCAAGGCTCTTTCTATAAGCCTTGGTATAGGGGAATCGGGAGAATCCGGGGGGATCTTGGAATTCGGAGATACAAGGCCCAGATCCATATCGGCAGCTTTGGTGGCAAATCCAGAAGCCAAGCTTCCAAAACACGCCAGTCGTACGCTGTACGGTTGGAAATCTGGCATCTGGTTGATGTTGACCTCAAAATCGGACACGACGGCGCGACAAATGAGCTCGACATGGCCCCGAAATCTGTCCTTTTCGAGTATTTCGTCGTGGTCAATTTCAGCACCGTGAAGTACTGCCATGCAAAGATGCTCTAGAAGTCCAGACTGTGCAGCTAGCTCCTCAGGTCTGACTTGATACTGTCGATGTCCATCCGGATTGTAAAGCGTTCCGTGCGCGTTTCGTGGAGGTCTTCCACCAAAGCTGTCTGCCTGCATAACGTTTACTCCCCGGCTGTGAGATCCGTCCTGTTGCTGAGGTTGCGATCTCCAGTTCTGTTGAACATGAGCTGGTGACGTGGAGGACGTAGCAGCAGCATTAAAACTGCGATTCTGCTGTGGATGATGATTGGACTGGAAAGCTGCACGGGACCCAGAAGGCACATGGCCTTGAGCATTGTGAAAGCCAGCCTGATTTTGACTGGGACGGCTTTGATGGAAGCTCGAATCGCGCCCTCTCTGAAACCCTGGTTGATTGGGGTAAGGTTTCGCAGACTGGGACGTTGTTGCTCTGGGGTCGATATCTATGGTCATGCGAGAGCTCATCTGGCGACGCTGTGCTTGATTGGGGCGCTTTCTGCCCTTATTTGGCGCCGACGGGGTAGTTTGGCCATCAGACTCTTGCATGGTATTCAGCGAGCCCGGATGGACCTGATTTGATGAGGAGACAGCCTCTGTATTGTTCAGTATCAGGTTGCGCAGATGGTCCTCGAGAGGTGCCCCAGATTGGTGTTGTGTAGCCATCATGTCAGAAAGACTCATGAGGGCTGAGCCAAAGCCGAAACAATGTCGTTGTCTCTATGAGTGGCCCAGATCTGTCTTGAGCGAACTTCAGTGTCGCTGTTTCAGGCCTTCTCCCCTACTGTGAACATTCGATTGTTGAATCCAGTTCAAAATAAAGTGGGCACGTAGCTATGAGAATGAAAGAGCGAGAGGCCCTTGGGGAGATCCAAGACAACAACAAAATACCGACAGTAGAAATCTGCAAGCAGTTCGAGGCGTTGTTCGAAACGTGTCTAGTGTGTTTGGTGTTCCAGCTGCGGTTCCTTTCAAGACGTCTCATTCAAGAAGGCTACGCCGAGACCAGATTGGTAGACATTGGCATTCGTCGCCAGAACTCTCCCACTTCTGGTGTCTATGTTGCTAAAGCAGAAAGTGAGGAGGATGAAGAAGAGGCCAGCAGAGGCCTACGAGATAGCGCTAAGATCGTGATGGCCATATTAGTTTGATCGAATTTGCAAAATGGGTAAACTTGGAGTGGACAGACACATACTCGTCAAATAGTGAGTGACATGGACTTCGCTGCAGATGTCACAAAAGCGGGGAGCACAACAACAATGGCCAACAAACGTTTTTGATATCGGCTCCTGGATATTCCTAGTCGGTAAGGGTTGAACAAATAAATATCCTAATGACGACTTGTGTGTAAAGATTCAGATCGAAGCTATGCGACAAAGTCCAATGACTCCACCAACGTTCGTTTTGTGGGAAGTCTTGGTGATTGGGTGTTTTTATGCAGTGGCATGAGCTTGACGGACTGGAGCTGAGGTGGGTAAGGGTACGTACAAGGAATGAGGTAGCTCCACGGGTCTAGACGCCGTGGTGGCACTGCACATATTCTGTGTACACTACACCACTGCGTACCTGCAAACAGTGGCCGCCAGGCAGGCAAAGGCTAATAACCGGAGAGCGTAGCGCCACTTTTATTCACTACATGCACCCAGCTAGGCAGGTATTGATGCATATGTAGCAGCATAGACCAGATGAATATTATCGTAACTGGACTTTTTGTAGACGGAACTCAAAAGTGAATACCACAAAATCTTGTGAGATTGCAGCGATTTGGAATACATATCATCTCCAGATATGTACACAGAGTACATGATCCTTTACCAAAAAAAATATAAACCCGATGAGTAAAGAGTGACAAGCCGTTAACAGAATTGCAGGTCAGTCTCAATTTTAGCTATCACTAGCGCAAAAAGCAATAAGCTCGGTTGTTGCAAGACAAACGCTGTATCACTGTAAACAGCACAAACTAGAGGTACTTGCAGCTTATTCACTACTGCTACCTTTTTCCAGCCCAGTTGCTGCGAAAAGTACTTGGCCAGTGACGTCTGCCTTGTACCTACATGATGTACCTAGCTGTATGACGGGACTGGAGTTTGTAATGTAGGCAGCACAGAACAATTGCAGGCCTGCACTCCAGCATCTCCGCCCAGCAGATTCCTTGTCGGACCTTCATTCATTCATTCCACTGCCGGCCTTTGTCATTGTTGCCGCATCCGACCATCAACTTCATAATTGCCACCACCTTCACTGCGTCTAGGCGCACAGCGGCCGAGGAACGCTTTTTGCCCCCTTGCCCGCCCTGCTGTGCAAATTGAGGCCGTCGCGACGAGACAAGCGCGCTCATCCGGTTCGCTACACCTCTACCGATAAAACTTGCGGGCAGCTGCCTACCTAGGTCCTGTGCAACAGCCTGCTCATCCCGCATCGCTGTTACACCAGCATACGCTTTACACCATCGAGTCTGCCTCACTGATGCCGCCCGGATGTTTATGAGAAATCTGCGATAGCAATCATCACTGGGGGTTACGGCGCTACATACCTTTGCCTTGAACGCCATCCACGCGGTCTTCGCGCCCTCCATTTTCCGAGCCACAGTCGACGCGATATAACCTTCTCGCAATGAGCGCGTCACCTGCCAATGGCCCCAATGGCCAAGGCCCAACACCACCTCAAGGGAAAGCACCGGTTCCCCGGCGCCGACCGGCCAAGGCAAACCCCTTCCGCCCGGTGCAGAAACCACATGCTCGCCCCGCAGCTGTTCACGCTCCAGGAACTCCGCTGCCTGCCAGCTCTAAAGGCGTCCCCCCCAAGCCTCCTGTCCCGAAGCCTCTAGGAAATTCCCAAAGTCAGCAGAACTTCGAGGAGGATCGTCAGAAGTATGGTGGCTGGTCGTTTCCTATGAGGGAAGGCATGGGCGAATTCGATTTGGTCTTGACCAAGAAGAACACCAAAGATGGCCTACGATCTCACGTCATGAGACTTATCCCACCCCGGAAATCCGAGAACGGCATTGATCCTTCGGATCAGAATGAATTCACGCGCCCCGTTTTGTTGCACCGTCGTGATCCCAGACAACCTCCGCCTGGCCGCGTACTTAAGGAGCCCACGCCCATTGAGGAGGAGACACCAGAGCAAATTGCAGAACGAGAGAGACTGGCACAGATCAAGGCCGATAGAGATGCGCAGCGTGCCTTGGATGATGCTCAGAAAGCTCCATCTGGCGGTCCAGCCAAGAAGCAGCCCAAGCAGAAGGACAAACCGCAGGGTACCAAGGTCAACCACGGGCCGCGAACGGAGGCTGCCAAGAAGGAGTTTGACATAAGGTACGAGGAAGCTTTACCATGGCACCTCGAAGATGCCGACGGTCGAAATGTTTGGGTTGGCCAGTATGAGCGACCTCTGTCGGAGACCAAGGCGGCCATCGTTTACAAGGATAACAAGTTCATGATCACGCCACTTGGGAAATGGTACAAGTTCACATCCAAGCGATCGTCAGTCAATGCCATGACTATTGAAGAGGTCGAGGCAATCATGAAGAAGAAAGCACCCGTTGGACGCTGGGCTGTGAGAGACCAGCAGCGTGAAGCTGCCGAGAAGGCCATCAACGAGTCCCGAGGTGCGGGCATGGTGAAGCAGGAGAGCCACACCTATAAACAGTCTAGCCGGAAGGAAAAGGAAGATCACGATGATATTGACATGTCAGGTGACGAGTTCCAAGACGATGACGAAACCGCCGGATTCGAGCCTGAGAAAGATGAAGATAGCAAGGACTCCAAAGACAAGGTTCGAAGAGATCAGCTTGGTGCTAACCTCTTTGGTGCTGCCGATGAGAAGGCCGTGGAGAGTGAGGAAGCTGTGCGACGTCGTGAGGAGCTTGAGAGGAAGCTGTTCGGAAAGAAGATGAAGAAGGCTCTCAAGAAGCGGGACAAGCAATTTCAATATGATTCGGATGACTCTGAGAGGGAGCGGGATCCTTTTGCTTCTTCCGTAAGTCGAGTCTGGTATCGACCATTACGAACACTGCTAACCATTACCAGAGCGATGAATCTGAAAGTGATTCAGACGAGGAAAAAGTCAAGAAAGAAGAAGACAAGGACAGCAAGGATAAGGATAAGGATAAGGACGGAAAGGACAAGAATGCCAGTGCTTCTAAGGGAAATGGCACTCCTCAAGGCAAGAAGAACCTCGCAGATGCCTCTAAGAAGGGCAAGTCACTCAAACGACCCGGTTCGCCCATGGTCTCGGACTCCAGTGGCAATGAGTCTTCGCGTAAAAACAAAAAGAAGAAGACAGGTCCGGCAAATGCCTCCTTGATGGGAAGCCGCAGTTCAACCCCCATCCCTCGACGGCCCGGCCCACCCGGATCAGCCAGTGACGCAGAAGCCACTGGAGGTGAGATGTCAGATGGCGTTGGTGGTAAGATCAAGAAGAAGAAGATTGGCAGTAACCTGGCCACTGGCACTGGTGCTCGCGGCACCCCTGTTGGCAGCCGAGCTGGCAGTCCTGCTCCATCCAACTCCCAACCCACAGCGCCGTTGACGGCCCAGGAGATCATTGATGCCCTTCCCGAGAATCCCGAAGATGGCGTCACTATCAGTGAGCTGCTCAGGTCTTTCAATAGCCGAATTGGCGAGGGACCAAACAAGTCAACCAAGGCCGATTTTATTCAATTGGTCAAGATTCATGGAAACTATAAGAAGGACACCAAGACCCTTTCCCGAAAGCAGAAGCAGAAGGCAACTTAGAAGGTAATGCCCATTTGAGGAACTTTGCGGCTCCAGCCAGACGGTTTGATATGGGGTATGCGACTGTTGACCCGCGCAATCTGTGGCCAATATGCTCGCTGGCTTGGATGTCAAGGTTGGCCTTTGGTTCTCCGTCGGTTAGGGCCATTACTAGGCTGGAACATGTAATTGACATCATTGGTAGATGGATATTACCTATAAGAATTCCATTCTAGATATTGGCATAATACCCTCGATTTCCGACTACACTCGCTTCGGAACAGATATCCGGCACATTTTCTTTCAATAGGCTGCATAGTGATAAATACCTGCTGCTGGGACTTTGCATCCTAAATTTGAGTCCCAAAAGCCAGTGACAATGTACAGGAGTCAGAGAAATGGTTTAAAAATTGTCTCAATTTGGGTATCACGGTTGAATCTATCATTGCTTTTAAATTTGCATCTGTAGGGACTCTTGAAGAGATGTGGGCGAAATGCCTGCTCCTACTCGTCCATCTGCCAGTTGTACTCGAGGTTCTTGTTTCTTTCCACACGGTTCATGGCCCTGAACCTCTCAGCCTCCCAACCATTGCCTCTATCAACCCCGTCCCAGCGATAACCTGGGCGGATGCCGTATCGATTCGGCGGTGCTGCACCCTGATAAATTGGCCTTCCTTTGTTCTTCTTGTTGCCTCCCGCCGCGGCACCGGCGCCTGTCCCAATCATGTCGGCCATGGTGTCGCCCCACCTCGTTTTCTCCTTGAGCTCGCGATTCATCTCCTCATCGTTGACGCCGCGGGCAACGGTCATGAGCTTGGCGTCCTGGAGGAGCTCACGGCGGGCGTGGGCCTCGCGGACCTGGACGTCGCCCTTGAGGGCCTCGACGGCCTGGGCCTTTTTCTGCTCGGCCTCGGCGAGCTGCCGCCGCGCCTCGGCCCGCTTCATGCTCACGTCGATGCGCCGGCCCGTCGCGTCGCGGTACACGGTCTCGGCCTCGCGCTCGTGCTTGCGCATCTTTTCAAACTCGGCCTCCTCGAGCGCCTTGCGCCGCGCCAGCTGGGCCGAAACCGTGGCCGCCGACTGCAGGCCCGCGTGCGTTCCATCCGACATCATGACGACGGCTGGGTCGTCATCTTTTTGCTCGCCCGTCGCGGCGGCGGATTCGGCTGCCGCCGAGGCCAGGATCGCGTCGGCGGCCGTTGCGTCCTCGCCCCCTTGTCGCACTTCGGCATCCTTGGGCGCCGGCGCCCCAACGACTTTCCAACCCGAACTTTTGGCCTTGCGAAATTCGGCCGATGTCCCTGCTACCGTGGCGGACACATTCTCGTCATCGTCATCGTCTGCATTGGTGGATCGCGTCCAGCCCGTCTCGTCGTCGTCGGTGATGAGGAGGCCGGCCGAGGCGTCCTTGTTGCGCTTGCGCTTCTTGGAGGGCTTGGGGTCTGCGCTGAGATAGTGTTTTGCTAGATACGAAGAGAGGTCTGCTGGCATCTTCTTGCGTGTGATTTTTTGAAGGTGGATAGGGAATGGAATGCCAAGACCAGACAGGAAAGGGAAGGAAGGAAAAGTAGATGTGTTGATCGTAAGGCTGAAGTCGTAGTGATGCGGCTCTTACCAGAATGTAGACAAGGCTGCCGCACGTTTGTGGTTGTCTGACGTCGTTAAGCTTGCGCATAGGACTGAGAGTGCTTATCTTATCAATTCATTATTTATGCAGCTAAGCGCAAGTCCAGACCCTCCAGACGGACACCCAAGGTTCGTCATACAACTGCACTAACTCGCACAATTATGCAAGTCTCCAAAGCGTTTCCACAACGACCACACACCCAACGAACAACAACAGGTACAACATTCAGGACCACAAAAAACATGTGCTGATCCAAGCGAAATCGGAAGATTGAAGGATCTTCTATCGTCACCAACCTCAAGACCTGTTCGGTCCGGAAGGGAAACGTTACACTTCTCTTAGAGCATGACCAGAACACGCAGCGAATGGGAATGCAACGGATGAAGCTACAGGCTACCACTCGCGAGTCATCTCGCGTTCGAAGTTCGGCCTACAATGACCATGCAGAGAAGACCGAAATACTCCCATGGTTGAATGAATTGTATTATCTCGGATCCACCGGCCCCGACTGGAGTAGCCAAGGGTTGATGGAAAGAAAATGAAATAGAGGTGGGCAGGCAGAAAAAGACTGGTTCTAGAACCAGACAGATAGGGGGGATCATCAACCATATATCAGAGAAATTATTGGACTATTACTAATCGTGTTCAGTGCGGCTTACCTGACATTTCCATTGTATTTTGACGATCCCGAAAATATGGATTATTTCCGGGGACCAGAACGCAGTCGCCTCTGCCGTCACCCTGTCTCTAGCAAAGTTTTATTGCTGACTGTCTTCAATAAACGACGTCCACACCACGACTGCTTCATCGACTCTGTGCATACAATTGCACAATTCAAAAAAATAAATTATAGTCATGCAGATGCGACAAGGGTATATTGAATGTTTGTTGTACAGAGATTTGGGTATGTATACTCTGAAGGGGGATTTTCGAACGCCACCTATGCAAATCGTGTCATAACTCCGGGAATAAGAAGATTCCGGCCAAGCCTTGCCCCCCAAAGAAACAAAGAAAAGATTGAAAACAATTGGTCGCTCAGCATCAAGTCGTCCACTCTCGTCCACCCTAATCAATCAATGAATCCTTTCGGCTCTGATCTTTCCGGCAGTCCCAAGCGAACTGCATGATCTGGCCAAAGTCGTTGAAGGACGGCAGAACTGCCGCCAGCTTTGTGATTTTTTGCCCGAACCAGGGCGGAGCACACGAGACCTTGCGCTCGACTCGCATGTATTCGTGCCAATACTGTCGCTCGAGCAGCTTCAGTTCGGGATGCAAGGATGCAACCTCTCCTGGCTCATCCACGCCCCACCCATATGTAGCCCCGCTGTCCTTGAGCCACGAAATCTGGGAGCTGTATTTTGTCAAAATGGTGCCCAGGATGTCGAATATGATCTGGCCGCCCAGGTCAAAGTAATCCACGACGTCGGTAATGACCTTTTTCGACTGCTCCGCCTTGAGATACATGAGCAGGCCCTCGGCGATCACGAGCGTCGGTCTGTCCTGGGGGATATCTCTCAGCCAGTTGTCATTGGTCACGGACAGGCTCCGTAAGCAATAGTCACCCTCTGGGGGCTCTGTATATAGGCGTTGCCGCAAGTTGGTGACCAGCGGCTTGTCCAAGTCGATCCAGCGCACGTTTGGACCCCTCTTGATCCGGAACACCCTGCTCTCGAGGCCACATGCCAGCTGCAGGACCTGACACGGGCGGTCGCCATGGGATTCTAGAAAAGTTCGGCACCAGGAATCCAGCTCCTTGGCTCGACCCGCTATGAAGCGTCCATAACGCTCGTCGTGCAAGGCTGCAAAGGTGCTCCGTGAATAATCCACATCGCAGCGATCCAGGAGATATTGTGCATATGGATCGCCCAGCAAAGGTTCCGAGCTCTGGGCGTCTTTGGCCCTACACCATGTAGACGCCAGGAGTGTCTCTTCGATGCCTTCCAGGATAACCTTTTCTTTGGGCATGGTAGGTGTGCTTGGCAACGAAGTTGTGGGCGAGAGCCCTCCGCCGAATTCGCTGGTATTTGGTCGGCGCATGGCTAGATTGTGATGTCTGGGTATCTGATTAGATGTCATCTGAACTCCCCATCCGGGACCAAGACCCAGGTTTGCGAATGTGCTATCATTATATACGGCTTCAGGGCCCGCCAGAAGCCGAGTCGTAGGTCGTCTAGCCCCTCGCCTTACACGGAGTTGTGTGCGGGCTGTGTGCGGGTTGCGAGATAACCCCCGGCCGTTACGGTGGCTCGGAAAGTGGTTGTACGTAAAAACGATGGGTGCTCCCAATTCACCGGATGGGCTGAGCGGGTGGGCTTCCGGTTGGATAGGAGAGAAAAATATGGCTCCGGATACCCATGTTCAGACGCCACGAGGCAAAAGACCCGGCCGAAAGGGAAAAAATACAATACTGGAGACTCGCTGGAAATGGCCATGCACCCCACTTATTGACCCAGTTGTCAAAGAAGAATATACCTATCACCAGGCAGCCAGGCCACTTAGCGAGAAGGGGCCCCTCGCACTGCTTCAGGCGTTCGCGACACTGACCAGTTGTGGCATCGAGGCGACTTCAACGCGATGGCGAGGAGGCAACGGATAGCTCGCGTATTGATTCCATGGCTTCCGGTGGCAACGCAGCTGATCCAGAGGCCATCATGGAAGGGAGGTCAAATAGACTTCATCGTGGCACAGACAACTCGATATAGGCAAGAGTTGCCATGTCAAATACATGCATGCAAATGGTCAGTACACACTACCAGCAGGCAACTGTTTAAGATGTGAGTTACAAGTGCTTTCGCCTGTGGCCATCGTCGGAACCTGGTTGCCTCTCTGTTATTGAAGACGTCTCTTGGGAATGGTCATTGATCCGACGGTCGGGATCATCTAGGATGTTGTGCCAAACAATCTTTTTGGTTAGCTTCCAATCTAATATTTCTCGCTTGACATTCATGCCAGACCCCGAGGGGATGATCCTATCAAGTAGCAAGGTAGTGAAATTTATACTATATGTATATTGTCAAGAATCTCTACAAGTATATCACTTTGCCAGAGTACCCTTTGTCACACATCCTTCCAAGTTTTCGATACCTGTACCTAATCATATTTGATATGCCTCCGCCCTTGTCCTTGCCCAACTTGGTATGCCATTTGAACGCACGTTCACACATATAATATCAACCGAGCGGTTGATCCAAGGTTGAATTTCAATCACAGATGTTCATGGAGTTGAGAACCAAGAGTTCTAATCCGCATCGGAGATCCTAAGCAGCTTCCATTCTTCCCTCCAACATGGCGCCCTGGCTTTTGGAAGATTGTCCCAAAAATGCGTGGTAGTCATAGTCTGCAGTTGCCAGGGTAACAACCTCCCCTTGAGAAGGTGGAATCCTGTTAGAACGCTTTGGAACGTAAACTCTTCGTATAGATGACTTCAAACCTCCCAGAGTTCCTGTAGGGAAATGAGGCGGGCGCACCATGCCCTTCTCAGTATCGGCTTGTGTGTTGCTCCCAGATCTTACTTCTCTGTAAGTCCATGACCGCATCTCCTGATACCAGCGAGCTGTTTTGTCTGGAATGCCTCGGAACAGAACAAAAATCACGGGCATACAGGCACAAGCGATTCCGATGCACAGTTCAGCAGCGCTATCATGGATTAGCCAAGGCAATATGAATGGTGGTCGATGACCAGCTGGGAACATACCAAAGCGCTTGTACGGGAATTTGTGTCCAAGTTTCGTCGCCTTCATTGAACATTTTGAAGCGGTATGCCGTATTGATAATAGATACAATGCAAGCGCTTGTAGAATATCAGCATGCGCGCCTCAAAGACCGAGCGGTTGATCGTACTCACACAAAGCCAGCGCTGAAAACACCATAGACTCCGGTCCTTCGCCTTTGAGAGAGGCGTAGTCCAGAAAGCATGAACATTGGCAGAAACCAAACGTAAAAGTCTGTGAGGGACCCGACAACACTTTGTGCTTGGGCAAATTTTTCATCTTCTTGTCGACAACGGGTGCCTCGCGAGGGCGGTAAAACGGTCCAGTTTTCATCTAGGGACTCGCGTGGTAAACAGGACGCCAAAGTCACGATAACACTGATCGTGTAGAACACCACGTTGAAGATTAATCCACTCCAAATCAGAACCTTTGCTCGAGGATGCGGAGAGAACAAACGCAAGTATAACATCAAAAGTGTCGACTTCACTGCCACGCAAGAAATTGCGTAGGAGATCCTTGATACGATGATGAGCTTTACAAGTCAGATTCGCAACTTGCTTCCTCTTGTGACCCATACTCATCGGGCAGTAACTCACTTTTGAAAACAGTGGCGTAATGTCTGTAAGAGGCACGTCCCACAGATGATAGCCAACTGGCTTGTCGAGGACTGGCATACGCAGTGCATGTCAGATGCTTTCTTCACAATTATCATGTGAGTTTATTATACAAACATATCAATGTTGTGCCACAGAAAACGACTGTAAGAGCCTACATAGATATGTCAGCTTTGGAGGACTTGCTGTTGTCTTCCGTGGATCCCAAATAACTTACCGCAGAGATCAAACACAAAACTAACTCAATGATCAGTACCATGCACTTTGATGCACAAGGAACCTGGACGTACTATCATCTGCGCTTGCGGCACGTGCTCGCCATTGACGAACGTAGATCCTAAGAGCAAGGGAGACCATCATCAGCGGTAAGGCAATGGCAATGACGATGCGGCATATTGGAGACGATGAAACTGGGTCGACAAAGTTTGACACCACTCCTGCTGGTGGTGCCGCCGCGGGGATCTGAGACAGGTCGTAGTCCATCTTCAGAAGAAGTGATGAATCGTCAAGGTGAGCCGTTCGCGGTGAGAAACACTGATCTAGAGAGGATAGATGTCAAGAACGACATCTGCAAATGGGATGAGTATGTAATTTCTATATAAATCTCAATTCGTAGGTGTAGATCTTTGCCTTTATCCCTCAAGCCGCGGAAATCGGCCCCAAAATACTCTCGATTTCCCAACCAATGTCTGACACAAAATCTTTTGGATGATGCCGTGTATTGAAACTGAGAGATTGATTGGGTTAAAAAGAAAACATTCCGCTCTTTGAAGGATTTCCATGGGTAGTACGAATCACAAAGTAGTGAGAGCGTTTGGGGGCATTTTGGGGTCGATTTCCGCGGCTTAAGGGATAGAGGAGGGAGAAGTTCCTATCAGCTACGTACATTGCCCGGTGCACAAACCGTGTGTACGTACCTAACCTAGACATATTGGCCCGGAGCGCTTCAGCAGCATCCATGCTCACATCAAGCATGTGTTTCTGGCGTCAACTGGTTGTAAGAAAGGAATTCTTCTTACTGGTTACAATTCCGCCTTGACGGGTGGGTGGGTGGTTGTGTGCAGCACTACAGCTGTTGGGTGGTTTCACGGGCGTTTTTTAGGCCCCATATTCCCTTACAAGCATCCCGCTTTTAGCGCTTTGATACTGAAGTCTTCGGTCAACCCCCTCTTTTTGCGCCAACAAGCACATTGCATGACTTCTTATGCGATGAGATACCCTGATGGCTGTCTTTGGCCACATTTCGCCGACGAGTGTAATCTTGGAAGACTGTTGGTGACGCAAGGCAGTAGAGTCGAGTTGCACGATCATTTGATCTGGCGCCCATGGGCCCACGGTGCTCCCAGGGGCCAACAGGGCTTTGTATAGTCTGTATCCTCTCTTGGCCTCCTTTGAGGAGCAGCCTTATTCCCCAGGTATTTCGGCGGCGCAGCACCCGTACAGAGGAATCCGTAACTCACAAGGGTCCTGCCTGTTCACCGTTGGATGCAATGCAAGGGTAGATGCAACATAGAACGTAGGGTACTGGCTTGATAACAGGCAAACAGGTTAATCAAACCATGTTCTCTTTCGGTTGGCTCCCCACATGCGCATGTAGGCATAACACATAACTACTCTTGACAAGTAAGTTTCTCTGGACTCCCTCCAAATTTGTACTTTCAAATTGATTCCTCTTCCTTTCCTCTATTTTCCAAACCACGAGTAGTGCTACAGGAGTTATCCAGCATCCGACTCTTGCGGCCGACGTCGACATGATAGACCCTTATTTAATAGTAGCTGTGGCCGGTCTTGCGGGCACTTATGCTTTTTTCTGGTCATTGTTGCACTTTACTCAAGATGCCACCGAGCCGCCGTCTGTCGTGGATTCGATCCCGTTCCTGAGTCCAGTTATAAACATGATGGCAAGGGGTGCCAGCTTTCACTCGTATCTCAGGTGAGATTGTCAGAGACACAAAAGTCGATATTGTGCATTTCAGCCAGACTCCCCGAATAACATTTGTAAATATGTACTAATGGTGACGCGTAGAGACGAACATAAGCTTCCCATTTACACACTACGTCTGCCGGGATCTCGCTTGTATGTTATCAATGACACAAGTCTGATTCCTGTTGTCCAGAGGCAGTTTCGAACACTGTCCATATCGCCGCTCCTGGTGAGGGTATTCTCTCATTTCATGGGTGTCAGCCCAAGTGCTCTTGAGATCGTGGGCCGAGATCCCATCGAAGACCATGGTTTTGTGCATCAAATGACTATAGAGACCAGCAAGGGTCTCGCCCCCGGTCCCAACCTTGACGACCTCAATGCCAGAGCAGTCTCCATTCTCGATGCGTCCTTGGCTGCGCTCTCTGCCAAAAATGCCGCCACTACAGTCAAACTATTTGAATGGGCTTCGCTCGAGATCATGATGGCTACAACGAATGCTATTTATGGCCATCAAAACCCTTTCAAGAACCCCGCCGTTCGCGAAGCCTACTAGTAAGTGCAATTGGTACTTTGAAAGTAAGCCATGGGAGTATCATGCTGATAGTTGTGCTCAAGCAAACTGGAAGGTGGCCTCATCACTATGATTACTGGATTCTTGCCATCGCTCCTCGCCAAGGATAGTCTGGAAGCTCGAGAAGTCATGACTGAGGCCTTTATGAAATACTACGCCGAAGGTGGTCTTGACGAGGAAGCGTCCGTCTATGCACGAAATAGATATGAATTACCTTCTTCACTTGGTGTCCCCGTCAGGGATGTGGCACGGATGGAAGCTGGGGGGTCCATTGGTCTTGTCGCCAACACCATGCCTGCAACATTCTGGATGCTCTGGCACGCCTTTTCGGATCCCAATGTTCTCGAAGACTGCCGCCAGGAAGTAAGTCAGGCTGTTCACGAGAAGGACGGCGAAAGCTACCTAGACTTGGCATATATCAAGAGCTCTTGTCCCATCCTGGCTTCTACAATGCAAGAGGCATTCCGCTTGCATAGTATAGGCATGTCAGCACGAACAGTCGTCGAAGACCATGTTCTTGGCGGAAAATATCTGCTCAAAAAGTATATTTGCCCAAAAGCCATAAATATCTATCCAAGCGATAATATACTAACCTTCACTAGGGGCAATACAGTATTGATCCCGAGTACTGTGCAACATAGCTCTTCTCAAGCTTGGGGAGATAATGTGGACAGGTTCTACCACAAACGATTTGTCAAAGAACATGGCGCGACCAAATACAATCCCACCGCATTCCGTGCTTTTGGCGGCGGGACGACTCTATGTCCTGGACGGCACTTTGCTTCAATGGAAATCTTGGCATTTTTCAGTGTCATACTCTTGCGCTTCGATGTCACCCCACTCTCGGGTTCCTGGGATACCAAGGCCTTTAGAGAAGCGAATGCTGCCTTTCGCCTCCCAAAACACGACGTGGAGGTACAGCTCGTCCCGAAGAATGATAAGATTTGGCACATCTTTTTCTCTGAGCCCGGACAGCCGATGATAATTTCCCAAGAGGACATCGCATCGGTCGTAAAGGTAGAATGAAGTGGATCCTTCACCAGCAGAGAAGCAAGGGAGGGAGATGCAATGTCTCTGTTGGTGCATTGCAGCGTACGTGCATGACATGTTAGTTGGTTGTATGCAATGTGCCACTGTTGGGACCAGGGCCACCAAGTCCGAGGTAATGTCATATATGCTAGACTTTGCAACAATTTTCCCTGTTGGCATCTACCCTTTCTTAAACTTACCACAGGATCCAGCAATACCCTCACAAGCGTTTGAAACAGTTGCTTGCTGGGCAATCTTCTTCAGTCTGGTCTATTTCAAATCCGTCAAGTCTGTCTCTGCTACCCAAGCCAGGATCAATATAATTTCTATCTCACTCCTTGACGTGGCTGCTTTTACACCAAACTATGCCCAACTGCGATGGAAAAATGGAAGCTGGCTTATACTCTTTAGGTTAGGCATGCCAAGGAATGGAGTTTACCGCAACCCCTATCCGCCTTGGAAACAGCACCACCATCCTCCAGCCCAAACCTCGACTAAAACAAAATATTATTACAATAATTCCATAACTTTACTCACCACTATTTGCAAGGATTGCAAAAAGTGTGCAAAAACATACAACACCGGGGATTCGCTGGTGGTCACCCACCCAACTACTGATCCGGCCGTCACCAGTTTGACTAGGGCAGAGCGGACGGGATGCCGTATTTTCTAGTGCGTATGGTCGTATGTGCTTGTTATTTGTAAGAATTGCCTCTATATATTGCAATTTTATAGAATTTCAAAACGGGTGGCCTTTGCGTTTCCGTCAGCTTTGAAGAATGCTACGTTGGACCTCCATTGGGTAGCTTTTGGAGAGGCGGAGAAATTCCAGCGTACTGCAGTATAGCTGGTAGGAAATGGAACCAAGCAAATATATCTATTGCCCAAATTTCATATTTCCATGATCGTGCAAATTGTGAGAAGAAGATACTGCAATATCGCCTGCATGCCTTATTACAGGAACGCACCACCAATGGAAGACTGGGGCGCATTTTAGGTCTCATTGTAAGGTTAGCGACGTCAACTAGCAGCTAACGAAACATTTCCATAATAATTGCAGCCAGTTCTTTATTTTATTATAAAGATTATAGCAAATACGAGCATAAGACCAAGTGTATTGTATAAATTGGAAATAAATCATGAAATGCTATCTGCTTACAAATTATCAAGCCTTATTAGGAAACCTCGGTAATAATATACACAGGCGGCCCAGCTATGGAAGGGGCACTTTCAATTTTGCTTTTCCTTCTATGCCTATTTCAGTGACAACATTGTCATTGCCATTGATGTTATTGTTATTGGTGACATTCATTTCAATAACATTTCCATTGCCATGAATTTCGGTTCCGTGGTTGCGAGACGCCTCTAGGACTTGTCCGTAGAGGATCAGGAGCAGCAGAAGCGCAAGTCCAGCCTCGATCTCCAAGCCGTGTAATTCGATCTTCAGGTCCAGGCTGATGCGCACTGGCCTTTGGTGCGGTTCTGTGTTGCTTGGAGAAGGGTCGGTATAATGATTGCGGTACGACTTGGAGATCACCAGACCCAAAGTCACGAGGACGTAGCTGCGAATTTGTTCTTTGAGCTGTTGCAACTGTCTAGCTCGGGCCTCCTCTCCGGCGGCCCTTTGCGATATGATGAGCTTGTGTCTTGCAATGAAAGTAATCGCCAAGAGAGCTGGGTGCGACCGAAGGCGAACGCTACGCAGCTGCAGCGGCCGGTGTAATGGAGGCAAGCATCTTTGCGAATCTGCAATATCGCCAATCATTTGTGGCCCGGAACTTGGCCTTGAAGACTGCAATGTATAGCTAGACTTTGGTTGAGGTGGTTCGAATATATTATCACTAGTCGCCTTGATTAGATATTCTTTGCATTATCACATCCTCGTGATCTCGTACCTCAGCTTCACGGTCGGGTTTTTGGAGTCCATGACGACCGTGTATAATCACTGATTGCTGTGTCTTATCCAGTATTATAATCGAGTATCGACAATTTGTCTGATTTGGGAATATTAGAGGTTTCGTCTTACGGTCAGATAAGGTGGGGTTTAAAGCGTTTTCATGCGACTGTAAGGCTTCACACCGACCTTGGATCCGCGCGTAGATTTGTAATTACATGCTCAAAGCGAGGGAAGACGCAAGGCTGTACCGTAAAGATGAATGAAGGAGTGGCGAAGCAAGCCATCCTTGCCCAATCATGCATCTAATCAGTCATTCTGTCATCTGTCACCGCTACTCTACACATGTGACTCCAATGGTGTCTGCCTTTCACTGCGCCTGGTTCTAGGTCGCTCTCAGCCCTTCCTCTCAAAGTACTTGTTCATGTGTTCCTTGACTTCAGCCGGGTCCGCAGCCCATTGGAAGGTCTTGTTCTCATTGCCAGATGTTGTACTCCTGTTTTCATCGCCAAATTGACGGGTTTTGTTGCCGTCTCCTTCTGTTCTGGAATCGTTCGCCCGTCCAATTTGCTCAGTGTCGTCGCGATTCCCCTTTGTGAACTTCTGGTTTCCGTTTGACGCTGGAACGGGCCTTTTAGAACGATCGATAGCATTCTGTAAGGCATGCTTGACCATATTCGCAATATTATCTTCAACATGTTGGTAAATGGGGTCGGTAGCACTTTCAAATTTGCACATGCTGCTGTGATTAGCGTCCAGCGGTATCTGCTTCTCGCGGTCTCCCGAAAGACCGAGAACAGCGGCTTTCGGATCCACGACCTAGGTGAATTGTTAGTAGAGTCTCGGCAGTGGTAGATAAGTCTTGAACCGCACCATTCCGAGCACCCCCAAAGGTTTTGTTTCGTAGAAGCTCAGAAATTGGAAGTCTTCAAGAAACTGGCGGAAGTCATCTGTGATAGATTTGGCGAACCAAGAATCCAATTTGAGTGCACTCATGAAACTATTCTTCGGCCTTCTGCCCAGTTTTCGCACGGATCCGGCAATTACATCCCCAATCTTGGCGTTATTTCCGCCTTGATGCGGCGTACCGAAGAAAATGATGCCGTATGTGCTGTTCACAATGCTTTTGTAACTCTCGGCCTGCTTTGCATTGATCAATGCCTCGTAAAAAGGTTAGCTTTTGTCGCCATAATTGTCTGAACGGAAGTGTATACATACTCTCTTTACCACTATGCCACCAAGACTGTGACATATAAAGATCAGTCGCCGGTCCTTTTGGCCCTGTCTATGGTCAGACTCAATTGTGGTACCATATGGCTCCGTCACCTACATCACGGGCAATTGCAAGCTGGTTCAGCAGGCTCGCGGCTTGCTCCAGGACACCTGCGGTCGAAGTCTGGAAAGCCACATTCGCGTTGTAGTCGAACAACAGAATTCGGGCTTTGGGAAGCCGCTCTGGGAGAAAGTCGCGCAGCCACAGTGATTTCCCAGCGGTCCAGGTAGCTTCTGCATGCGACTTTCCTCCAAGGGGGTCAAGTCCGTGTACTGCAACAATGCTATGCGCGAGCTGTCAGTACCTATCTTAGCGAGCAGTATGTCATGGAAGGCCTTGTTTATTCGACATACTCTATATCAGGCTCCAAAGGCTTCGCGAGCACCCTGAGGAAGTTCTTCGCCGACGAGCCCGGCTGGCGGACCGCATCAGGAGGGGTGTCAAGTACCGGTGAGGACATCAGGTAAGAAATGGTACAGTAACTTGGATTATGGGGTAACACAAGCCTTGCGCAGAACAATAGGCATGGATGGATGACAGTATGCAAGGATTGGTCAACTCGATTGGCGAACTTGGTCAGCCGATCGTGTCAAAAGGATGCGATTATCACTGATTAGCAATTCATTGAGTACTGTAGGATATATAGTGAAGGGAAAGGTATTGACCTTTGGGTGAACTGCCGATCTTGAGGAGAAAGGAGAAGGCTATAACGCCTCGCCTGTCGCGATTGGGCCATAGCATTCCCACTTGCTGCGCCTTGCTGAAGTGCATGCTCGTTCTTTGACCAATGTGATCCATCCCTAAGAATCTCGCAATTTCTCTCAAGTTCGGTAAGCTTCATGCACCGATATGTGGTATGGTGATATTCGCGCTCCGTGTTGGGGATTCATTTGTCGGCTCCCCAAGGTCGAGTGACACGGAGTTATCATTGGGGACTCGGCTACATTTTGGCTGCTACCACATCATGCATGAGAGTCAGCTGCATTGACCGAAGAGCGTTCAGCAGTCAGCACAGCCTGGTGTCAATTCAACACCAAAAGCCTCGAGTTGTTAGTCATATGAAAAGCGCAAGAAATGATGCCATGAGCAGTACCACGGCGTGTTTTCATTTAAGGACAGCTGGTCCAGCCTGACTGGGAAATGAACAATATTCACAACGAGAACTTCGCAATACTCCTGACAGACTTCCCAACCCAATGGCACAGGCTCAGGCACAAAAGACCTTCTCTCCGACTCGATTCAAGGAAAGAGAAGACAGCAGGCCGAGGGGTCCGCAATTTTTAGACGAACCTCGTGACCAGAGTAGCATGTCATTGGCAGAACGGCCAAGTACTTGGAACAACACTTCGGAAGAAAGAGCGGAAGACGCCAACGAAGAAACTTTACGAGTATGAGATACCTCTACATAATCACACATGAAAATGCTGACATGGAATTCTAGACTGCACCATATCCAGATAGTCAGATGCATGGCAGCGCTGGAATTGATGGCAGTGAAGCCAGTACCACTTCCCAAGGCAATCGACACGCAATTATTGGCGATAGAAATAACGCCCGTTCAGTCGGACGTGGGCATCTTGCTGGTATCAAAGGCAAGGGCAATACGTCGGAACAATATGACACTCATCCACCCACATTGGACAAGAACGTCATCATGTTGGTAATAGTGATTGCAGCTATTCTGATAGGGTGGCTTGTGTCATTCAGGTCAAGTTGAAAGCAGTTCAACCCTATATGTCTGATATGTGTGAACTTGCACGGCTTGTAATTATGTGCACCGTTAATGGTATATTTGACGGGGTTCTCGAGAACAATTGATAGAGATCAACAGATAGTGTTTGCTTCACTTCGCTATCGTATGTCATTTCCCCCCGATGTCCCTCAGAGTATCCAGCAACCATTGGAATTGTTCGCGAATGTGTTTTGGCACTTCTCCAAGTGAGTGAACGAGCCTCTGCTGAACATTGTACAATGGATCGGCGATAGAGACGTTCGAATCCATATAAGTATGGCAGATATTTTGACCATATTGACACACCTCCTTGAAGTTATCGACAGCGAATGTCGTACCAATTTGAATCACATTGGACTTTCCAATCTGTGCAGCGAGGTTTCTGTCTCCCGTGATTCTGCTCAGATTGTCGTCTCCGTGTTGCATCGTCTCGTTGGTGCTTCCATTCGTGTGAGCATCGTGGCGGTGGCCAATTTGGAGCGTGGCGTTGCCATTGCCAATCTGTATGGATTTGCTCCCACTGCTGAGAGCTGTTGCATTTCTATCACCGTCCAAGAACGAATGCGTTAGTCGAGGGCTTTTCCCGTGAAAATTCTCTTTGAAAGGGTGCTTGATGGGAAGATCTCAATCCAGCCTTACCTAGGAGACATCATCGTCTCAATGTTCCCGATCTCCCCTGTCAAGGGAGCCAAGATATGGTCGATATGTATGTAGAATTCTCACTTCTCGGTTGTGAAAGATATCCAGGAGTTGGCCACTTCCGCCAAAGTTGAACGTGGCGTAGGTGACGGGACACACCGGAATCTATCATCTATCTGCCAGCCTTGTGTACCCTCCATCCCCACTGCGCCCTTTCAACCGGTGTGTGAATTTCTGCCATGGCACCACGTTTGTTTAGATGAATTCCATTGGCACCCTGGGGATGTAACCTCGAGAAAGCGCCAGGTATGAGCTGTAAGCCACTGCACTGCCCCGCAGTCATCATTATGTCATGCACAGAGTCTAGGAATGCACTTAGCTGCCATACAACGATCAGACCAATAGCGCCTGCTGGTGGCCACTGGCAGTCAATGTAGGACTTATTACTGCTTGATGTGCTCCGCTGCCAAGTAGCATTGAGTACAACCACATCAAATTCATAAATTGTGAGCGACTCTTTGACTTAACAGCGATTGGGATCTGCTTGCACTAACTGGTTTCTTGTTACGGCCAGTCACTTGGAGGACGACATGTACACACCGATGGGGCAAACAATTATGCTCGTTTTAGAGTAAAAAGACATCTGAGCACAAATCACATCCTTTTGGAATTTTGGGAAGCAAATTAGATGAATATTCAGTGAGAATCGTATTTATTGCGATATTTCCACTGCTATTTCAAGTGTGATAGATTCTTGTTGGCGATGCAGGTATCACGGGTACCTGTCGAGGAACCTATGCGGGTGAAAGGCCACCTCGCTCCGAAATAACCGTAACGTTGCTAATCATTTGGAAGACTTGTTTGGGAGCCATCCCTTCATTGTCTTCAGCTTTGCTTTGACTTCTGGCGGTATATTTTCCAATGGCGTTGAAAACCCATCTTTCATGGCATTGCCGATCTGGTAGATGACGGAGCCGAATTTCGTTATCAAGCTCTTGTTTCCGTTCCCATGCTGATTTGTCTCGCACTTATCGCCCTTGGTTTCGCTGGTGTTGGAATTGCCGTTTTGCCGGTTGAGATTGTCATCTCCCTTGGTGTCGTTCTTGTTGCAAATTCCATCCTGTGCTGAGCCGTTCACTTTGCCCACCATTGAAGCCTCGTTGTTGTGGCCAACCTGTTTATTCGCGTTGCCAATACCGTCAATCCATATAGTATTACCATTACGATCCTTTTTGAGTCCAGACCGACTGTTACTGCTCTGGTCTTGTTGAGCCATTTGGCAGATGTGATTTCTCGAGTTTGGGAGAACGTGTTCGTATCTTGAGAATTGCAAATGATCAGGATGACTACCAGTGCCCAGGATGCAGAACTTAACATGGTCTTAAATGCTACCACCCTTCGCCAGATATTCCATATTGACCAATGACACACTTATGGCCCCCTTGATCGTTCATGAGCCGAAAGCGACTGTAGCGTCGGTGAGCCACACCTACACAGAGCTCTTGGCAGCCTTGCGTTATGCCCCAACATCCTTTACACAACTTGAAGAAGATCTTTTGATACCCTTGACACTTTCGAAAGGTTCAAAAGTTCCCAACTAATTATAGCACAGCCATAGCAGAGCGTGAGTTTGGGTTTGAAATATTAAGCGAGGATGTGCTCAGCGAAATGGCAGCACACAGCGTGCGGCATGCCAGCACGAATCATCCAAGTACAATTTCTAGGGTATAGATTCTTGCGATCTGGAGCTTATTCTTGTACCGAGAATTCCAATGCCTTTCCCATGCGATGTAATCCTTCTCGCAGGGCTGCCTCAGGCAACGTGAATGTAACCCTGTACCAGCCAAACTCTTCGGACGCATAGATGCTGCCGGGCGAAATCATAACTCCGCACTCGATACAAGTAGCTGCTAGTCTTGACTCGGATTCTATACATGCCACCAAGTCGGCCTCGGACATGTTCGATCGTAGTCTTGAAGAATGACCTTGACTTCGGAATCGTTGAGGTAGCATATAGCGGCCAAGATCAACCCAAATAAACACTCCTGCATTTCTACGTCTGTATAAGCTATACGAGTCGACCCTCTATAATCATCTGAGTACTTACGATTCAAAATAATCGATTTTGTGCGATTGAAAGAATGCAGTTGCAATAGAGTGGTTTTTAGCCATGAGTTCATGGTTTAGAGTAAAGAAAGTATCAAGCCATTTCTTGTCGTTGAGCATCGTAGCCCAGATGTCCTGCACCAGGTGAGGAGACCAGGCAAATTGTCTGGATTTCACAAGTTCTGTCAGCATAGCCTCTAAGGACGCGAGCGGTGTGTGACTCGCCCGTTGCTCGATATTGCTCGTATGACGCCCTGATTCTGTGTATATAAGACTCCCAGACGAAGTCCATTTGCGCAAAAGTCCTTGCTCGCACCATACATGACATGAAGCAAGAGTGGATCAATGAGACCATTGCTCACGGCCATGACAGATGTGAACGGTGTAGGATCGGCCATGGAAGGGTTCTGAAACACCGACTTGGCATAAATCTCATCCGAGATAAGGTGTATCTGATGGCGGCTACAAAAACCCAAAAATGCCTTGAGCGTCTCTGGTGGCTGTTGTCACAATTAGCTATGACTCATGAAGTCGTTGTTTTTAGGACGACGAACATAGCATCTACCTAGTGGATTGTGTGGTCTGAGACTGGATTAGTGACGAGGCAAGAATGAATGACTCGAGGCGCAGGAACACACTGGGATATTAGGAGAGCACGAATATTTATACCCCGGGTCTTGGATTTTGAAAGTGCAGCTTCCAGTGCCTCTGTATTGATCTCCGGCCGGAAGAGGTCATTCATGGACGAGTGCCTAGATATATCTGCATAGTCAACTCCAACCACTTGCACGTGACTGCGATGTGTGATGTCGACGGTAAAACCGTTGTAATACGGTCTGGGAATCAAAATGCCATCATCAGGATCGCACAACGCCCATGCGATAGAATCGATGCAACTGGCGAGTCCAGGTGTGACGTAAAGATTGTCGGCCGCTACTTGCGTTGAAGGGCAGAAATGCTCGTTAAAGTATTTTGATAGAGCGTCTCGGAGTCGTAAAGACCCCCGCGGTCCAATACTATATGTCAAATGCTCGCCAGGTGATATGCTCATCTGGAGGCAAGACTATCAATTTTTTGCACTCCCTCTTGAGATTGGAAAAGACAGTGTTACCCTTTGATTGATGAAATCTGTGACCTTGTCGTGCATCAGGCTGTTTTCAGCCAATCGAAGTAGAACCCTGAATCGATCAGTATAAATCTCCAAGCATCAGACCAGTTCGGTGAGCTCACATTCCATTGGGATTTGTAGGCGACCATGGGTTTCCCATTGATTTCTCTCTTGGACCCCATACATCACGGTAGGTGCCGTTGAAGGCACCTCTTTTCGACAAGTGGAAATGCTCTATTGCATCTCTGACAACACGATCAGACGCTTCCATTTTGAGCTGCAAGTGGTCAATCGCTCACTGCAATCAAGGGCTTCTGACGTTTGGTTTTGGAAGGCTTCGTACCTTTAAGATTCGGAGCCGACTCCTGTCAAATTCGGCGGTCGATAAAGACCTGGCTCCGACGCCGGCGCAGATGAGCCAACCTAGTTAACCACACCCGGCGGTCCGACGGCATTGGCCCTCATTGGTGAAGAAATAGCTTCATGACGTAAAGTTGAAGACGTCCCTTTATTATCTTGTCCACACATTTTTCAAAGCCGACGGATAGAAGTCTCAAAAAGATCGTGCTGCACAGTCAGACCGAGTATTATGGAGCTACTGCGAGAGTCATTGAAAAAAAGAATCCATCGCATTCGAAGCATAAATAAGGCGTTTTCTGAGTGAAGGATTGTCATTAGAGATTTCAACTAATAGATACCACAAATTAAGCAAGCTCCAGCAGAAACAAAGCGTCGAATCTCTACCCGGCTGGTCACAATACAATCGCCAGCCCTGAAGGCAGACCCGAAATCTGTCTCACCAAGACAATCGACAGCAGCAAGCAACACCAATCACCATGCTCACCACCGAGACAGCCACCATGATGGCCAAATATGATGACTGGGCTGACCAGGTCCTTTTTGATGCTATATCCAAGCTGCCAGAAGACGCGGCATACGCGCCGCGCAAGACACTTTTTGGAACAATGCTTGCAACGCTCAACCACAACTTGCAGGTCGATCTGATCTGGCGCGCGCATATCCTTGGCGAAGAGCATGGGTTCTCCACTCGCCGCGATCTTCTGCACTCTTCCTTCAGCGACCTCGTGCATGCGCAGTCGCAGATGAATCAGTGGCTTGTGGACTGGGCGAAAGACCAAACTCCGGAGAGTTTTAGCAAGCCGACCAAATTCAATTTCGTCTCGGGCAAGGCTGCGGAAATGACTGTCGGGAGCATGTTGTTGCATATTATCAACCACAAGACATACCATCGTGGATGGGTCAGCCAGATGTTCTTTGACCACGACGTCAACCCTCCTGAAACCGATCTTTGTGTCTTTCTTTGCGAGAATTAAATGATTTCAACGACTAAGTGTTATCGGAATATCGAATCAATTGACAAAATGTAAAATGAATATGTGAGCATCTCTGTATGCCTGGTTTCATACCCATCTCACACGACGAGCTGGAAAGTGATAATAAAATCGCATAAAAAGAGAGCGTTACAATCCATATACCCTTGCCACGATTGACATCCTTGTTGCTTGCTATTTTTCTTTTTCGAGGCGATAAAAGCTTTGTAACTGGCGCTATAGAATGACCGAGTCGGCTGTTTTATGAAATTGTTACAGGACGTAGTCACTTAGTGCCTAGTATAGTGTCAACGTTAGCAAGTCAACGTATATTGACAGTTGTAGCAGGTGAAAGCAAACCACCTCGATTATAGAATTCAGGTAGTTGAATATTAACAATAATTATAAATTTTTTTTTTTTTTTTTTTTTACAAACCTTTCCATAAAGTTTGTGCTTCTAATAGTTATAAAACAGACCTTACCAAGCTTTTATATACCTTCTATTATGCTCCTACGGTTATGCTCCTACGTTTAGACCGAGAACCTTTCAAAGGTTAGAACCGCATCCTTGCCGTGACACGTCTTGTATGGCTTGCGATCAGATTTGCAGAGGGTGAGAAACATTTCACATTGCCAAACATTTATACTAATATCGACGCATATGGTAAACTTGACTGTAATAATTATCATTACAAATGACAGCGTCTACTCTATCGTATACTTATTCGCATGTCTATGATATCGCTAAATCCGAGTTCTTGAATTCCGACTTCTCTACTTGTGGAGTCTTGTCATTCGGTCGCTGCTCCTCAATAGTCTCGCCAATCTCTCTGATTGTTTCCGAGATAGTACTGTTCTTCCTTTCGAGTTCAGGCAGGGCAATCCAAGTACGCATAGACTCTATTGCGTGGCCGTACTCTATGTGCACGCTGGGCTTTGGCCACATAGGCGGTGGCTTGTCCCAGGCATGCTTGGCCTCTTTGACGACTCTAACCGTGATCTCGCGTCCGGCCTCGTCCATTCTTTCCGCAAATGTATGACCTTCGGCGTGCAGCATGTCGTATTCGCAAATACAGAGGTGGACTGGGGGCAGTTCTCTTAGCAGCTCGTCCGACATGAGTCCTGGTGATAGACGTGGATCATCACGCTCATCTTTGGGAATCTTTGGGAAAATATATGATGCATCAAACAGATCGGTAAGGTTCTTAGACAGGGTAACGTCCGGCTTGACGCAGCTCTGTCTCTTGTTGGGACGGCTGATGGTCCAGTCGAGAAGGGGATAAAACAGTGCAAATCCTGCAATCTTGGGCGGCACGCCTCCAAGATCATAGCCCCATCGTTGTGGCTCTTGAAGGAGAACCCAGCTGGACAAAGCAAGCGAACCGCCTGCCGAGAAGCCAGAGATGACGATGCGGTCCGTGTCGATGCCAAACTCTTGAGATCTCTTTGCAATCTGTATAATTGCATCTGCGCAGTCTTCCACAGCCTTGGGGAACGGGTACTCGGGCGCAAGACGATAGTTGACCGAGAAGACGACAGCATCGGTTGACTTCATCACGGCGCCAGCCCAAAGTGCGTCATCAGTCGCCGAACCCACCACAAAGCCACCTCCGTGGAAGTTGATGACAGCTGGCCTTGTCTTTTCGGGGTCCGCCGACCGGCTGGTAGAGGTTTCTATTCTCTTCTTGGGATCCCAGACCTTGACCTCAATCTTCTTCCTGCCCTTCCACGGGCCTAGGGTAGAGTTGAGCCAAATGGTCGAGGTCGAGCTGATGGCCGCCCGGTTCATAATACCGAAGCCAATATTGGCACCTGCCCGGATGGCACCCGCGCGGGCTGAGAGCATCCATCGAGCGCTTTGCTCAAGCGGATTAATGTACTCTTCATCACCAATATTCGAGAGCGTTTTTCTTAACCCTAATGGTGGTCGACCTTCTCCGGGCTCATTGTCGGGGCCGGCACCCGTGTCGAGCTTGCTGCGATTGCGCCGGAGGATCCTTTGAGAGAATGTTCTCCGGGCGGAGAAGGGCGGTCTAAGACTACCACCCTCGGAAACGGCCTTGAGATGGGGATGCTTTGGTTTCGGCTCCTCGACCGTCTCAGCGGTGGACACGGCGGACAAATCTGGTTGAGTTTCGTCCGACATCCCGAATAGCCGTGGGGATGCAGGTCTAGATCCCCAGTGTGTTGCAAGGAGGGAGGGTTGATGAGCTAATCAGAAGCACTCGATGGTCCCGAGGGAGTGAATCGAGGGATTTGGGTTCCGTCTAACGTAGGCAAATTCTCCAAAAAGGAATTTTCTTTTCTCTCTCGGTGTGACTCGCACGTCTGATGACAGTTGCATTCATCAATACTATTGGAACGGGCTTCAAAGTACGGATCCAGGTTCAATGAATTGGGCAACGGTCCTGATTTTAGTTCCCGACCCAGCCGAGTTACAGATGTGACATAACCGCCTGCTGAGTCGATCTCTCGATGCTAAGAACTGGGAACCGCTGTGAACGACGGGCAACGCGATTCAAGAGCAGTGCAGTGGTGCAAAGCAGGGTAGGGGAGTGTGAATGATCCACCAAGCAGGCCAGAGCAAAAGCCAGCTGGCCAGCAAGCCGGTTTGCATGTCTTGAATCGATTTGAGTGACTGAGATTCCCTGATAGATCGAGAGTGCTGAGTATGACGTCAGAAGCAATCAACTGGGATGGAGCCTCGGTGTTCAGTGCCAGTGCGCGCGCTGCGTTGCTGGGGCCCGCCCTGCCCGCGTTGCTCTCCGGGGGCCGGCTTCCAGGCAGTCAATCAACAAGTCACTTGATGGTCACAAACTGGCGAAAAGCTGGGGGGACTCCGGTCTTCAATGGTTAGGGCCCCTTGCTGAAACATTGACGCCCGTTCAGCCCAGTAACGCCCTACGCAATCCCGCTAGAGTCTATAGCCAGCTGTAAATTACAGGTGCAGGGTCTAGACAATATGTATAGCAAATAATGTCAATGGTTGGCCGTAATAATGACGGTGAGGTTGGATTATTATTCAGGTTTTCCTCTAGTGGCACCTAGTATTCAGGCTTTTTTTTCGTAGATCTACACCTCCTCAAGGATTATAAACGTTAGATCGTTACTTGCCCCACGCAGTGACCCAGCACCTCCCATCGGAATTTTACCACCAAAAAAAAGCCAATTTTCTATCTACTTCCATATCCAGTGCTAGAAGCTTCCGCAACCCGTACACAAACAGCATACATTATAGGGAGAGATACCTAACAGATCAGAGGGTTAGTGAGTGGAGCTTTGTACTGATCTAACATTTATAATCCTTGAGGAGGTGTAGAACCGCGTCCAGCACATGTCAAGTATCCTGCTGGCCACTGCCCATGCATGTCTGGTTTGGTGCCCGGGAATAGCGCTAGCAGCTAGGGTGGTGATTTGCCCAGGGTGGAGCAAAGTCTCCGTCGTTCCCGCTTCAGCGCGCTGGGAGTACCTCATGTCGTCTCAGCAACAACATGAAAACTGCCCCAGCCAGCTTGGTTTCTTCTAAGTTCAAGATTCAAGGTAGTGCCAGGTATGTACTCTATCTCTCATTTCAAGGTGGTGTGAAGGGCTGGCTTGATTGGGGAACATGCCATGTGTATCGTACGCATCCTCCTGTATGTATACTTTCGGAAGTCATGGATAAGCTTCAGGCCTAGCCAAGGGACGAATGCTTGACTCGACGCACCTATGAAGGCCTCAGATAGCCGTGTTCCAATCTATCATTTGCTCCCTACTGGCTAGTTGTGGCTCGATTATATCCACCCCAAGAAAAATTGCACTGCTACATTGCTGGTCAGCCTCTCTCCCATTCTTTACGGTCAGACGGAGTGTCCGCAGGATGTTGATTATAGATGTCAAGTAGTAGATTCTAGTAGGTACTGTACACTACATGGTGGATCCACTGACCGACCGACCTTAGGTACCTGTCTGAGCAGCACAGGGCATCCGAAATGGAAACAACGGACCCGTAATGCGATCGTGATGGCTGCCGCGGGATGACGACATAGCTTGGTAAGTCGCCGTGTTTCGCGCACGTCGGTCTTTGTATCTCATCCCGTCCCTGCGAGTCTGCCAGGTACAAGCCCATCCGTCTTGAATGTTGACAGCCCAAGAAAAAAAATTAAATAAAAAAAAGCTTATGTGACATTGAAGCAGACCCGGCTTAGGTAGCCTTGGTACCTTTTTTTCCCCCCCGTCTCTTTCCTCCCTCCCTTAAGTTTGCCCAGGCCGCCGCACCTTCTGCTCGATCGTATTGAAGCAGTTTTTCTGTAAAATAATTCCGCTCGAGGAAGCCCATTCCCAACACAAGCTCTTTTCTTTCTTGGGCATTAGTGTCTTCTTCTACCTCAATTGCATTATTATATCTTCTCCCAAATCAAGAGAAATCATATATTTACAATGACGGTAAAGGAGGGCTCGCCACGGCCCAACACCCTCACAGGCTTGGCACTTCAGTTGAAAGGAAAGCTCAAGCCTAGCAGCAAGAAGCAGCAGAATGGCGTAGTCGAGGACAAGGGCAAAGCTGCTCATCGTCACCAGCTCAAGCGACTCGAGAAGCAGGAGAAGGAAGAGCGTCACTCCCGTGACATCCAGGAAAAGCAGAATCGATGGCGCGAGGAGCATGAGCGCGCCAGGTCCGAGGAGGACTCTGAAATGCTCACCCGCTACGGAATGGTTGCCGAGCCCGAAGACTTGCCTGCCGCTGTTCAGCCCGAAAATATCATGACAATTGATCAAGTCACCAAGCTTCCCCTCGGCTCCAAGATTGCATTCCGTGCTCGTATACACACCCAGCGACGTATGTCGCCCAAGCTGGACTTCTTGCTGTTCCGCGACCAGACCCATTCCATTCAGGGCGTCCTCGCGCATACAAGCACGCACATGATTCGCTGGGTGCAAAAGTTGCACCCCGAGTCTCTTGTCTACGTGACAGGTACTCTGAAGCAGCCGCCCGCCGACGTCCGCTCAGCCACTGAGCACAATGTTGAGGTTGACGTATACTCGACACATCTTGTCGCCGCCGCCAATGATCTGCCGTGGGACAACTACGAGCCGCCAGAGGCGCTGAATACCCGTCTGCAAGCGCGCATCCTCGATATCAGACACCCCGCGAACATTGCCATCTTCAAGATTCGATCCAAGATCGTCAGCCAATTCCGACGTACTCTTGAGGACCTGGAATTCCTCGAAATCCAGACTCCCAAACTGCAACCAGCGGCTACCGAGAGTGGTGCCGAGGTCTTCAAAGTCAACTACTTTGGACGCAAAGCTTTCCTGGCTCAGAGTCCTCAATTGGCCAAGCAGATGGCCATCTCTGCCGATTTGAGAAAGGTCTTTGAGGTAAGAACTTTCTGCTGCCCACCGTAATAGCTCATAATTAGCCAATTACTAACACGCATGATAGGTTGGACCCGTTTTCCGTGCAGAGAACTCCAACACCCACCGACACTTGACAGAATACACTGGTCTAGATATTGAGATGGAAATCCAACACAACTACCACGAAGTCATGATGACCGTGGACAAGTGTCTGAAGAACATTTTCGCTGCTGTTCAGAAGATGCCTGAGCTACAAGTCGTGCGAGAACGCTTCCCCAGCGAGGATCTCGTGTGGTTGGAAGAGACCCTCGTGCTTCCGTTCACCGAGGGTATCCAGATGCTACGGGAGGATGGAGCTGATATTGAGGTTGAAGATCTTGGTACCCGAGATGAAATTCGCCTCGGAGAGTTAGTCAAGGAAAAGTACAAGACTGACTACTACATTCTCGACAAGTTCCCTGCCAATGCTCGTCCTTTCTACACGCACCGAGCTGAAGATCCTCAGTTCACAAACTCATTCGACATTTTTGTTCGAGGTCAGGAGATTTGTACCGGTGGCCAGCGCATTCACAACGCCGAGAAGCTCCGCGAGAGCATGAAGAATGCCCGTATTCCTGAGGCTGGTATGGAAGAGTATCTGTCCGCCTTTGACCTGGGTCCTGCTCCCCACGGTGGTGCTGGTCTTGGTCTTGAGCGTGTCGTTTTCTTAATGCTCAAGCTAGGCGACGTTAGAAATGCCACGCTCTTCCACAGAGACCCCAAGTCTCTTCCGGAGAAACCACCAGGACTCCCGCACCCAGAGGCGGACACGACAAAGCCATGGTTGTTCACGGAGCAGCCACCGATTGAGAAGCTCATCGCCAACTATGGCGATGCTTCAAACACCTCGTGGCTCGACGAGCGATTTGAGATCTGGAGACATTCCAATGGTGCAGCTGTCGGGTATTGCGTCCAAGATGACAAATTCGCCATGACTATCGGCGATCCTCTTTGCGATGAGAGCCAGTATAATGAGGTGATTGCTGCATACAAGCAATACGTTCTAAATGAGCTCAAGCTCACGCCGGTATGGATGCTTGTTTCAGACCATGTGCAAGATATTCTTGCGCAGAACCACAAGTGGCGAACGTTGAGCTGTGTTGAAGAGCAGCGTGTTGACGCAGACCACCACAAGGAGCCAAGCAAACACGATGTACGAAGAGTCGACAGGGAGAACGTCAAGGTTCACAAGGTTGAGCCCAATGATGACTTTAAGAAACGGTGCGAGGAGGCCATTGAAGAATGGAAAGCCGCTCGCAAGGGCAAGAAACAGGTTCACTTGACCGAGATTCGTCCTTGGGTTGATACCGAGCACCGACACTACTTTGCGGCTGAGAGGGATAACAAAGTCCTCGCCCTTGTTGTCTTGGCCCAACTATCCCCTAAGCACGGATGGCAAGTCAAGTGGGCCATGGATTTCCCTGGAGCCCCCAATGGTACCATTGAGGTTACAGTTGAGAAGGCCTTGTCCTCTGTTACTGGTAACGTGACATTTGGTGCTGGCGTTTCTGAGAAGTTGACGCCCGGCGCCCAGCTTCATGGTGCTCGCGCCAAGTTCCTGGCGAACACATATGAGATCCTTGTCAAGCAGCTCTCGCTGGCAAACAAGGCTGGCTTCCGAGAGAAATTTGGTGTCAAGGGTGATCCAATCTTTATCTGCTACCCTCGACACGGCGTTGGTGTTCAAGACCTGAAGCAATTCATCAAGTTCTTTGAAGACTAGAGAACCCACTTAGAAGGGTATAGAGTGTACCTTGGTTGGTACATTAGAGATCCTAGAGGAAGAAGAAAAGCGACTAATGAGGAGAAGGAAGTGGCTATGGAAGTGGCCTGCTGTAGGTCAGCCGATACCCCCAGATGGATTAATGTTCTGAAGCGTTCTCTCTAAAGGACAGTGTCCTTTCTTTTGTTATTACGGCATGCTTAAAATATCGTTTAGGCATGAGCCTATTTGGCATGAACTGTGTTTTTTGATATCCACTCCGTTCTCATGGTTTAGATAGCATTAATAGGTGATATTCTTCGAGTCAATATTTTAAACTATATTAAAAAGAGTTCTTGGTTGATCCAGAGCTGCTGAACCGTGAAGTTCTGCTATCTGTTGATCCCTTACCTTATGTAGCAGCTATATGTGCATGGGATGACATACCTCATGTGAGAAGTATTCTCCGTCTACATTACAGAAGTTTATGCTAGTCAATCACAGTTGCGAATTCCTGCTATAAAATTGGACGTGCGAATGGCATCCATAAAAAAGGGGATATTTGGAATCCCCCAAGGTAGTCTTGTCGATATTGTCTCGAGTTGCAAGCCATAGTTCTAACAAAGTTTGTATTGGTATACTCAAAGCATGGGAAGCAAATGATTTGCCTGGCTAGACAAGACCTAACAGAACATGGGGCCAGAATCGTATGAAGTCGCGATGGCAGCGGCGAGCCGCGTCCATCGGAGAAGTGTGTGATAGTGTTTATGTGTGTCTATAAATGTCTCTAGGTCATAGCCATGCTCGGTTCGGACTCATCAAGCCTGTTGCCAAGCCATATATAAGAAATATGTCATCTTAATTAAAATCTGGAAGAAAAAGAAAGCAAGAAAGAGGGGAGGGGGGGTTGACGAAGGATACAAAAACTGACTTTAAAGCATATAATAAGGACATACAATAACGAGATCGGCCAACGGAAAGACAATCCCAAAATCGCAAAGCGATTTTTAATTATTTATCTCGCCGTAATCATCCTAAGGTTATGAAGCTTTGTTTTAGACGGGGAGGCACCAGCTGTATCGAATATTAGGTGATATCACTAGAGACTTGTCTCTTGTTTCCGTGACCACTTGTTACTAATACTACTACTAAGCGTTTCATCTGCCGGCTACTATCACAGTGACTAGGTAGTCATGTAGATGTGGGACACAATGCTGTTACGCCTGATACAGGATGCTCCCAAGACGGTATCCGTTATACAAAACATCTGGCATACCGCCAGGACAGGATGGTGATTGAAAGGGAACGGCACACATCTGTTCGAGATGAACGATATAGACAAGAGTTCCTGACTCGAGAACTCTGAATCAACTTGGAATCTCATGGAGACGTTTTTTTTTTTTTTTCCCAAAGTAGTGGACAGTGGAGAACAACTAAAGAAACCGCTGCATGGCAGTATCCGCCCACATAACGCGATCGCGAGTTTGGATGATTGGCAGAATAGGCAGGCGCCTAGATCATCAGGTGATATGATGTACACTCGCAATATTGGACTCACAAGGTTGGATTCCTGGCTTGGCGCATTTGTCAATTCCGACAACACGACAGGCTCAAGTCCCTGCTTGCTAAGAGGTAAGTCTGTGGTGGTGGGTGTGACCATCGCTTGACGGCATGCATATGAATCACAAACCCCTACACTCCGCGGATCGCGGAAACCAATCAAGTCTCTCATCGAGGGTGCATAATGTCGGCATAGGGGCGTTCAAAAGATGATCTGGTCCACTTGCTGCAGAAAAAACCTGCCTCATCCAAGAGACTGCCGATTCAAATCTGCAGTAATCTTTCAACGGTTTACCAATCGCTCTTATTCTCCTCTTTTAGCTCATTCGGATTTCGGATGATCTGAACTGCTGTTAATTCCTGAAAGATACAAGAACAAGGTCAAGGCTCGGCAGGTTTGTGGCACAGCTCACTCGTGAGGGGGATCCGGTGGGTAAGAGCCACGGGCCGTTACGGGTAGTTGAGCCCACGCCGAAGCACTCTTGCAGCACGGATGCAACTCGGCAACGAATCAGCATCTGGTGTAACAATCACGGACCCTAAAATCCTTCGGGGTCCATCTTGTGTCAGCCGACATTGATCGCCTGCTTTTCCGTAGGTTTCTGCGGAGGCTGGCTGGAGTTGAATGCGTTATCCTCGCAATATAGCCCTGCGCCGTATGCTGGATCAATGAGTAGGAGGGATCCAAACAAGAGTCGACATGAAGACCTTGTTGTATTCCTATGCCACTATGGATCATCAGGGGGCTCTTTCGGCTTGGGTTTGTGCCTTAGTCCAGGACTTGAAATGTTTACCAGGGAGGCATCTTGAGCTTAGACAGATAGCCGACAAGGGTTATCAGATATGTTTCTTGAGCTTGTCAGCACGGTTTATTCCTTGTGAGCAACGATTTTAGGATCCATGTCGAAGTTGCGTTTCTGCCAAGCTAGAACAAGAGTTTGGCAAGGGCATATACATCCGTGGCTGTTGGCTCGGGCCGCTGACTGCGCATAGAACTATCGACGGACGCTTTCCAAATCCGGTCGCAATGAAATTGAGGCTTCCTAGAGTTTACGTGTCGGAGACTGGCTGGCCTTGTGTAATGATGAAGCTTGAGCAGCAGGATATCGATGATCTTGGCTGATGCTATACCATACGCAATACAAGGTACAAATTTTGTCGGAGAGACAGAGGTCCTGGCCGAGGTCAAGCCTCTGAGGGAAACTCACATTTGATGCCGCAGTGCCCGCCCAAAGATGATGATTGTGAAATAATAAGCGATCCAGAACGTGTGATCATGTGTGATGGCAACGCGGAAGCGGGGTGGATCTTTACGCAAGCATTAGACAACTTGATCAAAGCTTGACGATATCTGACTGGCTGTGTAAGTGAACGTCTTGCTGCGCCTAATCAGCACTCTCCACCCGGAGACTTATTCTATAGACTGAGTACAAGCAAAGCAGGGCCACCTGACTGTTATCGTGCAGTCAAATATTATACGACGCTGCGGTTCTTTGTGGCGGACATCACCCTGCAATTTGGCCATCATGCAGCTAATCGTGCATCATGTCGTCCATTGTTGCGCTGAAGAAAAGAACCCTGCCTAGATAGTTTGCAGGGGGGTGGAGGAGACACAAATAGTAGGTTGTTCCGAGGCGTGGTTCCTTTCCGTCTTTGGCTGTGGGGGGGTGCGGGCACTCTTGGGAATACACGGGGTAAAAACGAGTGTCCAGAGTACCAAATGTTACCGCAGCTGCCAGCACTATTCATGACGATGGCATAAATATACTGGTCCCGCTGAAGAATGCGATGATCGCGGGGTATAGACGTGTGTTCTTGGCGTCTTGAAGAATCCCGATTAGTTTTATAATCCTTGGCATTTTTATTGTCGTCTTTCCCATGGCAGCGGTGAGTCTTCGTCTCGATTCAAAGTTGGTCCATCGCGAGGGTGCGCACACAAGGATAGAGAAAGAGTTTTGGCAGTGCCACAGCAAAATCGATTCTCGACCCAGAGGTGTGTATATCTATACACTGACTAGGTGGTATACGTAGTATCTCAGCTCTTCTGAGCGGAGGCTGTGTGGAGCCCATGTCGGGAGTGGAAATAGATCATATCCCGGTTTCGGCATGCCGAGCAGCAATGGGAAGCAATCCCATTCCTGCGAATGTGAGCCAATCATGTTTGAAATCGAACCCTTGCACCGAGGCCCTGGCGATGAGGAGTGCCTGCATGCAGCAACAGCAGCAAAATGCAACCCAGGCTCATCGCGGACAGCTGGCCAATCCAGAAGCCCTGAGTCGAAATTATTCAAGGTCGGTGTGCCATTGCTGATCCTGCGTCCTTTGAATTTGCTGCTGTTGTCTCCAAATCATCGCTTTGGTGGCACAGAGGCTTGAGCTATCTCTCTTTTGTCGGTGAGTAATGTACCAATCTGACACTGCTGCACGGGGGGGAAAAGCAACTCGCTCGGCAAAATCCAAAATGTTGAAGTTTGTCTTTGCTGTATCGTGAAAAAGGTCTTGTTCCGTACACAAGCTGCGTATATACTGGTGTTTGCGGCTATCAATACCCTTTACTATTAGTCACCCTATCAGGTGACACAATTAGCAACAGCCCAGAGATGTCAGAGCAATCGATCCGATAAGCGGTGGTCGGAGTCAAATAGCCTGGATAGATGGTACCTGGTGGATCGGCTTCAAGCCAGGGTCTCGTAGCCAAGGCGGGACTTGAGAGGGTATCATTGCGACTACCCTGCTGCCGAGGAGGAATGAAAATCAAGATATGCGTCCAGAAGGGAGACTGAGTTGAATTCTTTGGTTTCCTGGTCCAACTTTCGGTGAATGTTGACGACGTTTTGGGAATAATTTGTGCCGGCATCGCTATACATAGGTACATTTAGAGTTGGCACTACCTAGCCCCTCCTGGTCATTACTGGTAAGATACTATAAGTACATTAAGGTCCTACCTACCATCTATCAATTTGTCAGAAAAGAATAGAGGTAAGCTGGAGCTTCAAGGGAATAGGTACCAATATTGACAATTTGCTTTTTCTCAGACTCTTCACTCTTCTCATTCCCGAGTTATTGATCAGGTCCTCCTGCATTTCTGGCGGGCTTCAAGACGCTTTGAAACAAGGCCTTTAGTCAACACGGGCATCGTTGTACTTTGAGGCCAGTGTCGAGCACAACTCTTTTCTTCTTCTTCTTTTTTCATTCCCCTTCCTTCCTCAAAACACTCACAATGGATCCCGAGGTATCTGCTGTGCTGCACCGTAGTTTGCAGCACAAGTTTCTTCAACTTTCGCGCGGCGAAAAGAGCAAGCTCTTTTTCGAGGATGGGAGCATTGTAATCGACGCCTCTGGCGGCGCAGCTGTTGCTTGCATTGGACACGGAAACGACAAGGTGAAGAAGGCCATTGCTGCCCAGCTTGACAAGATCGCGTACTGCTCAACAGCTTTCTACACGAGCAGTGTATGCGAAGAGCTCTGCCAGGAACTCGTCCAATCTACTCATGGATTCATGACTCGAGCCCTGATCGTCTCATCCGGTGAATACGCCGTCCTTCCATCATGGCTTGCCACGTACTGACAGTAATCAAGGCTCTGAAGCAATGGAGGCCGCAATGAAATTGGCACGGCAGTACTTCCTTGAGAAGTCGACACCGGAGCCCCAGAGAGTCAACTTCATTGCCCGCCAACAGTCGTATCACGGCACTACACTTGGCAGTCTCTCCATGGGCGGCCATGTTTACAGAAGAGCCAAATTCGAGCCAATGTTGTTGAACAACATCTCTAGAGTCTCGCCCTGCTTCCCGTATCATAACCGAAACTCTCAAGAGAGTGATGAGGCCTACGTCTCCAGACTGGCCGCTGAGCTTGATGCAGAGTTCCAGAGACTCGGGCCAGAGACAGTCTGCGCATTTGTTGCTGAGCCCGTTGTTGGCGCAGTAAGTCTGCTTCTGCTTGTAACAAATCAAAACCAGCTTACAAAAGCTTTAGGCACTTGGTTGCGTGACGTCGGTACCAGGATATTTCAAGGCCATGAAGCAAGTCTGTACCAAGTACGGCGCCCTATTGGTCCTGGACGAGGTCATGTGTGGTATGGGCCGTACAGGCACTCTGCATGCCTGGGAGCAAGAAGATGTTGTTCCAGATATCCAAACCTTGGGAAAATGCCTGGGTGGGGGTTATCAACCCATCGCAGCGATGCTGGTTCATCGCAATGTAGTTGAAGTCATGTCGAATGGAACTGGGTAAGTAAAACCTTTGCTCCTTCTACATGCTTTCGAGAGTTAACCGCAAGTTCTTAAAGGGCGTTTGTACACGGTCACACATATCAAGGCCATCCGATTGCTTGTGCCGCTGCTCTGGAGGTGCAAAAGATTGTCAAGGAGGAGAGACTCATTGAGAATGTCCGAAAGCTGGAACCAATCCTTTCTGAGGGGTTGATTAAGAGCGTGTCTCATCACCCAAACGTTGGCAACATTCGAGGACGAGGCTTCTTCTGGGGCATTGAGTTTGTGGCGGACAAGGAGACTGGAAAGCCGTTTCCCGTCAGCGCAGGTGTTGCCATGGGTCTCGCGGAGCTTGGCCTAAGCAAAGAATATGGAATTGCTGTTTATCCCGGGTCTGGAACCGTTGATGGTGTGAATGGTGACCACGTCATCATTTCGCCGGCCTACAATACGACCGCAGAGGAGATTGAGGAGATTGTTGAAATCTTTCAACGGCTCGTGTCTGACTACTTCAAGGCGAAAGAATCGACGCTGTGAGAATCACGTGGAGGACGACAGCACTCAAGTACCTACCTGCCGTATGTACCTGCCCCTTGTTTGACATTGGACGGCGCGCCGAGCCACTGCCTACCATAGTATACCTTATGTTCTTCGGTACCTCTTTCATGTGCATTCTAGGCAGGCATACACGTTGCGCTCTCGCGCAGAACTTTTATGAATAACGAATATTTCATGATACATTGGCAATCCGTGGCATCTTGCCTCTAATGATAATCCAGCATGTGACGACCTTGACCTTTTACAAGCGTGCCGCTTAATCTGTATTAGAGGAGTGCTTTCCCATCATGTCATGAAGAGGAGTACGTATTGCCCGTCAGCAAGGCCCCATCATCATGAGAAACGGACTAACAGACTGCATTAACCGCCAGTGTTGTATTCTCAATGGATTCTGTTATTGGAGTCGACTTCAGAGTATATAAGCAAGGTGTGCGGCATATGCAGTGCTAATGCAATGCATCCTCTTTGCCTCCGCGCGGAAAAGGACAGGTTAAGCGCGGAGGAACAAGATCTGAGCCTGAGATCCAGGTGGAAGATCATGTAGTCCCCTGCCTGAGATCCCTTGGCTGATAACGGGGGTTACCATCGTGTCGGGTCCGTCGTCGTAACCAATCGTGGGTGTGGAGTTGATGTTGAATGGAGAGGGAGTGTGCGGAGCAAAAATATCACAGTCTCGTACTTTGATTGTGGTCATGAGTGTGCGTGAAAGGCAACATGATCTAATTCCCCGGTTTAGGCACTTGAGATGTGCCGATTCTGTCCTCATATAGGCGAGTCAAAGCTTATGATTTTATAAAACTCAAAACCTCAGGCGTTTAGAGAGACTCGCCTATGACGTAGTGTGAATGCTAACAGCAGTCCTCGCTGCTCGGCTCCCCTATACTTTTCAACGGTTCCCTAGTAGGTAAGTGCAGGTAATTACGTTAATGGAGTTGGGACGAAGAGAGACCTGTGATAGGCGCCCGGTGTTCTCTAGGCTCCATTTCTAGGCATTTAAGGGTTCGGCACGGCGCCTAAAGGGCTGGAAAGGTCAGTGCTTGTACCTACCCGAGTTAGCCCCTCAAGCTTGCAAACACTTAGCCAGTGAGGTCATGTACCGCTACGACTTCTGTGCTACCAAATTTCATAGTTTGCAACCAGGGCAGGTACATTACTGACGCTATTTACCCCCAGCACATAGTAGGCCAGATCCCTGGAGTGCCACCCCCTCAAGAAACGAAACAACACGTTCAGGCCATTCCGTCTACATTTTGGCGGGTTGGCAGTAATCACGTACGGTTCGACCGACTTCACACCAACGATTACATTGCTCGTCCGTCGCCGACCGACCGCAGTCATGGCCGTCGGTCTGACGAACAGCCGCCACGCGGCAGACGAAGAAGCCCGCGCCGAGGTGGATGTACTCAATTCGCGACTGGAGAAGACAGCCCAATTGACCAAGAAGATACAAGCATGCATCGGCAGGCTGGAGACGACGGGGAAGAGCGTGCGCGACGTGTCTGCGCCCCTCAACGGCGAGACCAAGAGACTTCAGATCCTCGGCAACAGTCAGTCCAAGATCCAGATCATCTTGCTGCCCCCCTGTGTTGCAATAGCTAACGCGCGACTCTGCTCGTCGCAGATATCGATTCAGTCATTGCGGCCATTGAGCGCCTTCGCCAGCCGGCCGACTCCAAGAACGATGAGGAACAGATCATTCGCCAAGGCCCTGACAAGGCCGGACTGTCCAACTATCTCAACTCCATCTCGAGACTGAGCAAGGCGCTTAGTAATATGGAAGTGGCCAATCTACGGGCCAACCAGCAGACCAGGACGGACCTACAGAAATTAATCCAGAGTGGCAACAGCTCCCTCGAAAGCCATTTCGAAAAAACCTTGAGGGCTGAGACTCCAATGTCAGTTGAGCCTCTCAATTTCACGACCAAGGGCAAGCCGTTTCCTGTCATATCGCAGGACACAATTACCCGGCTAAGCTTGATCAACTCCTACGTTGGCAGCAACGCTACGGCCGAAAATCCGCTTGTCAAAATATACGCCGATGTCCGCAACCCGTACCTCCAGAAGACGCTTGTGAACCTGGCATTTGCCAGCGTCAACACGGCCAAAAAGACGGTACCCGGTGCCCTTTACAAGGCAGGCACCAATGGCATCGGTGAATATACCAAGGCCCTCGAAGGCATGTGTGTCGCAGAACATGAGAATATCTGCAGTATTTTCATGAGACAGGACTGGGGTAGCGTCCTGCAGGCCACAGTTCAAACGCCCATGGCAGAACTCGCGCGTACGATACGTGAGCTGAATAACCATATCAAAGCACACATCAGCACGGATTGTTTCTTAGCTTACGAGGTTGTCGAGATAATGTCCAGTTTAGCCTCGAGCTTGGAGGAGCGTACTGGAGAGCTCAAGGGTACGCTCGCAGCTGCATTAAAACCGGTCAGAGAGACGGCCAAGACATCACTAGCCGAACTACTCGAGGATACGAAACAGAAGGTGAACATGCTGCAAATGCTGCCATCTGATGGAGCTCCCATCCCGGTCGTTTCCGCCACCATGCAACGCTTGCAGACAATGGTCGAATTTCTGCGCCCCATCTCCAATATAATGATATCTTTAGGTGATGGAGGCTGGAAGTCCACTGCAGCAGCAAGCCGTTCGACCGATGTCATACCAAGCCTTGCATCATTCGATGTCGGAGCCGACGGCAAGGAGATCTTTGCACACTACTGTACAGACACCATTGATGTCCTCATGACTTCGCTTGATACCAAGGCAAAAGTCTTGCTCAAGGGGAAGTCTGTTCAGGGTGTCTTCCTAGCCAACTCCGTCACAATTATCCAACGCATGATTATGGAATCTGGTCTGGCACCACTCCTGGATGGCAAGCTTGGTGTACTGGAAACGTGGCGTAAGAAGGTAAAGGTTATGTACAATGAAGCTTGTAAGGAGCTATCGTTGCAGCTCTTTGATGTTATTCACACCAATCGAGCACAGCGACCTACCTCGGGCAACGCCGATTCTGTCTCCGTACTCAAGAGTCTGAGCAGCAAGGACAAGGAGAACATCAAGAACAAGTTCCTGAACTTCAATGCCGGGTTTGATGACTTGGTTCAGAAGCACAAGACCTACAGCATGGAGCGGGAGGTTCGCAACATGTTTGCCAAGGATATACAACAGGTGCTCGAGCCACTCTACAATCGTTTCTGGGATCGATACCACGAAGTCGACAAGGGAAAGGGCAAATACGTCAAATACGACAAGTCCAGCATCGCAGCAGTCTTCTTATCGCTCTACTAGTAGATTTGCTCGTCAGATCCGTTGCGCATCGCCAGATCTAGCTGAGCGCATGAACAGGATCAAGTTCTAAGAACTATAGACGGCATCTTTCATTTCTCGGCAGCATGAAAGATGTCTAGGCTGCAAAACAAGGGGGCTAAACATTCCTGCTTTCTTCAGCTCAAAACACTGCCCCGCTCAGCAGTGCCGAACTGACTGGATATTCTGCTGCCCCAAGCGAGTTCGGCTACGAGATGGAGGGGGCCTTGGGGCTATCGCTACAGGTAGCTGAGCTTTGCCAATACAACACGCTCCGGCCAGCAAGTCCTTCACTTGTACCAGGGTATACTAAGTAATATAATCATAGCATTGGGGACATCGACACATAACTTTGACAGATACCCTTTTCGGGATGGCGAGGCGTTTTGGGGAAAGACTTTTTTCTTGTCACTTTTGGTGCAACGGTGCCATGAGAGAATGCTCGACTGCAGCAGCTAGCAGTGATATCCAATAATACTATAAGATACTCTCAACTTGGTATTTCAATCCACATCAATGACGTGGCAATATGATATCTGATATATGGTTCCAAGTACAGATATTTTAACATAAATTATTGTGCCATTTTATTCCTCTTTCTATTTTTTCGATCGTTTCATCAAATATTGATGTAAAATTTGTGCTAAGAACTGTCGATGCCTAAATGGCCATGTCCGTTCGAAGACTCATCAGCTTCCTGCTTTTAGGAAGGAGAGGGAGGCTATACTCTTTTGCAAAAGAGAGTACAGCAGATTGAACGTGTCCAAACCCTGCATACATGATGTGAAATTAAAGACGATCAGGGGCAGTTGCTTTACCTCTCTTTTTGTTGTATCCCCAACAGGTTAAACTACAGGCTTACCGAGAAAAAAAAATCATGTAGTATCTTTCCCCCAGTCCATGTGTTGTCCACAAAGGACTAGAGATGCATCAAAGCTCTTTGGGTATCGACGTCTCGGTCGACGTGCATGGCATGGCATAGCATGGCATTGGCGTGGCATGCCCATCGTAAGACAATACCACATATGCACTCACACCTCGTTCTTCTTCACCTTGGGGTAAGAAGAGGGGATGGAAGAAATTCCAAATCCCGAGATGCTTCTCTTTTTGTTTTTGTCCCACCTGGTGCCGTGTATTGCTTGTATGTATGTATGATGTATGTACATACATACATACATACATACATACCCTTACATGCCATGCTAATATGGATCTCATTAGAATGCAGTGTAGCCACAAGAGACCCCTCACCTCACCTTGGTCCACCGTGAGGTCTGAGCTCCCTTTCAGGTCACCTATCTACCCTATCCTCACCTGGGAGCTTGACTGGGGTGGTGGTGTGTGTTTGTTCCTTTCAGGTAGGGAAACAGGGAGGCCTGGCACGGTCTGCTGTAAAATGGTACAAAAAGGGGATGGGTCAGGGCAGGGGGGCCAGATGGTTTTGTGTACGCGGTCAATATCCCTTGAGTACAAGGTTACACCTTTTCTTTCTTTGCCTTTGGGAGGCGCGTTACAGGTGGGCACTTTCTTCACCTTGGATGGTTTTGGTCAATGGTGCCGGCTGAGAGCGGCATACACAGTCACATACACACATAGAGATATGTCTGTCTGCACAGGGCTGGCTTATGATGCATATGTACAGGATATGTACGACTGACTGTGCCTGGACAGGAGGCTTAACAACAAAATTGGTATTCCCCTTTCAGGCAAAGAGTCTCACTCTTTGGTTTCTCCTATTCTCGAGTGACGTTTGTCCTCCTTGTGTACATGTAATACTTTGTATCTTGACTCCCTGGAGGGTATTTCGTGGAGATTGATGGTCCACTTCTAGGGAAAGAGAAAGCGCCCGTCATCGCTTGGATGAACTGAGCCGGGCGTCTGAACCCCAGACGTAACCTCCATTGCCTCTCCAAATTATTGGGAGTAGTGACACCGCTATATGATCTATGCACCGGAAAGCACGGGGTTTGGGCCCAGAGGCGATCGCCCTCCCCCGGAGAGAGGCGAACTGCGGAAGGCCCGGGGTGCAACCCCATCTATTATTCCCTTTCGTTCGAAGAGCTCCCGAGTCTCAATGGAATAGCCATCGCAGGGACGGCTCAAGTACTATAGCAACGATTTCCTCTTTGTCGTTTCCGTATCTTTCCTCTGGCGAATCATGAGTCCATCATGTTTAGCCATATAGTAAAACTGAATGGTTTTGTTTGGCTGTAATGCCATTCAAGTTGTGGACATTATGATTTCTTTCGAGCGCACGCCTCCGTACGTAAACCCCGGGCCTTTCGGGGATGGCAGGGGCCGGTCGGTGGTTGGGAAATCCCAAGGTCGATCTGCACAGATCAGATATGTTCCCCTGCTGCCTACCCGACGGCACAGTCGTACGCTTGTCATGTCATCCATAAATGGGAAATGTCTTTCTTTGTGCTATTTCCCGTATATACCCATTCAAGAATTTGTAAGTATTCAAGTACTCTGATGGACTGCTAGTGTATATCCAGTCATGATGTGACAACCACCTACATTCACCGCTCATCATCATGTCTGAGGAAAGGGAAATATCCAATCAGCTTTGAAGATACAGGCACAAGAACCACTCGAGAAGGTACTGTTCCTAACTGGGCCTTGCTCTCCAGGCCGAGCTGGGGTGGCCTCAAGATCACCGTTAGGGGTCGCTCAAGCGCCGGAGAAAAAAAAACAAAGAGAACACAGACAGAGCTGAGGATAATGTCGAGCAGAAAATGTAGGGAGGGCACAGACATTTGTCAATCATTTGCCCTGAACGAACCAACCCGCATCTCGCCCAGGTTCTCTTGACCTTGGCCCCCCATCGACCTCGACATGACAAGGTGCAAGTAAACCGGCCCATGTTATGTGACTTTCCCTAAGAATAAAAACCTGCAGCAAATAGCAGAGACACGAGACCAACAACAACATCAAGGCCGGCCCAGGTACCCCCATTCCCCCTTGGCCACCACTGCATGTAATGTACAGACAGGGCGTCAAGCATAGTGTATATCTAGCCGCTGCATATGCATCTGCAATGACTGCACAAGAGCCAAAACAGGGGTAAAGACGGTATGGCCTCCAGGGGGGGTCCTCCAGCTGCCGAGGCGATTTCCGATCTTGTACTCTGTAGGGTTTCAATGGTATTGTACCTCGACTTTCAAAGGTCTCTCTCGTCGGCTGGACACGCAAGATCCTTCTTCATGAATAAGCGAGGAGTGCCCAGTGCGAGGTCGTCCACGAAGAGAAAGATTGGGCGAGGGAAAGGATTTCGGAATACGTTCCGTAAGGCAAGGTAAGCTGCCTCAGCAGCCGCAAGCTTCACCGAAGAAACTTCATGGTACGACATGGTAGCTCTTAATATATTTTCGCCCGGATTCTTTGGGGAGGCTGCCATGCGTGTCTCACTCGTGCATTATTCAGGGGGCCTCGGCGGGCGCGCCACGGCCACTTTTTTCGCTCGACTTGGGGCCATCCTTATTGTGACCTAGACAGCTTGACCGTCGTCAGACACACACACACACACACACACACACATACATATAACCTCAGCTGCGGTAATGACTTTTGCTCGTGTGTGCAACAATGACATTTGCCTGACGTTTGTACTACGTGCAAGATGCAGCAGAGACTGTTGCAGCTTAGGCACCCAGAGAATACGATTGGCTGGCAAACAAGGGGGCGGCATATTTCTGCCTTGTCCTTTCATGCTTTAACAGCTTCTCGCCCAGGGAGACAGAGAGAGAAAAGCTTTGACCGTGGTAAAGAAAAAGACTGCATTGGGATTTATACATGGCTAGCTGCATGTCATGCTCCTCCGGCACGGGTCATCGTGACTTTGGCAAATAGTTGGGGCAAAATCTGCAGCTGCAGTGGTGGGGAGATTGGGGCGTCCTCGGTAAGGGAGCCGTAAGATCTTGTAGATCAGCATGGGAAAGTATCTTGGAGGAACCGGTACTCGTCTGGTTCCCGGCCCTAAGTAGGTACAGTCAGGGCGGGTGGATGATGTGTTTAGTCAAGTTTCCACAACCAATACCTGACCCATGGCCTGTAGTAGAGAATCTGAGAGAGGGAGAGAGAGAGAGCTGTCAGACATGGCCATGAGCAGACAGCTGACGTTCCCGTGTTGGCCTGGCCTCGACTCTGCTCTGATGCCCCCACGCGGGTCAGAAATAGGATTGTGGCTTTGTACGTGCGGATGAAGAGGCTCTGCGTTGTCATTCAACGAAAGCTTCCAGGCAAGCCGAGTAAGACACAGACTTACTTCTACGGGAAACGTACTAACAAGAAACAGCTCGCTGATTGGCTATAGCATGGCGAGTACTACCAACAATGACGGAGTATATACTATTTGACGCCAGCCAGGGCTGTGTTATGCACCAAGATGTCATGAATAGTGAAAAAAAAAAAAAACAAAAAACCGAAAAAAAACCCGGGAGAAAAGGTATGTAGCACACACACACAGTGGACAATCTTGCGTTTTTTTTATTCAATTTATGCACATTGCTCGCATCATAAGAATTTGGGGAGGAGTTGGTTTGTGCTGATCATATATTGCACATCTCAGTCACCATTCCGAACTCCCGATCCTTGAAGAACTGGGGTGTTTTCAGAAAGCGAAGAACTGAGCTACAGCTACTACTACTCATATCGTATCCTAGGAGAGATCAGATCTGTTGGAAAAGGGAGTTCCCGTCCGAGTCCATCCGTCGTCCCAACATGTGGAGAACCTCCTGTACATTGTCATCTCCTCTTTTTGCAGATCCGCACATAAAACCTTCCCACGTGCTTGGTAGCAAGTGCCCGAGCTTCCACCCATTCCCTCTGGATAATGTAGAGGAACAAGAGTGAATGATGAACATGCATTTCCAAAAGCAAAAGGGGTCGGACGGGCAGATTGTTTACAACAGTCTGAAAGATGCTGTAGATTTCTGACCGGCTGCGCAGGGCAGATTCTGTAAATGAATGCAGCAAAGGCG